CCCCACCTTGCAGGTGTATAGGGACAAGGTGACAGCAGACACTCCCGGGGGAGATGGCGAAAGGTTTATCTGGGACAAACAGCTGTTATACAGGGAGACGGATAAGCAGGTAGCCGGATCAGACCCGATCGTGATGCGACAGTTGGTGGTACCACAGCGGTACTGGGCAGAGCTACTCCGGATGGCGCATGACATTCCACTATCTGGACATTTAGGGGTCAGCAGGACCCGACACAGGTTAACACAAAGTTTCTTTTGGCCTGGAATTAGCCAGGAAGTGTGCAGGTATTGCAACACTTGCGATACATGCCAAAGGGTGGGGAAAAGGGGGGACAGGCGCAAGGCCAAGCTACACCCCCTTCCCATAACTGAGGAACACTTTAGTAGGGTAGCAGTTGACTTAATAGGACCCCTCAACAAAGCGAGCCCGTCAGGCAAAAGATTTATCCTGACAGTGGTAGACTATGCCACTAGATATCCAGAGGCGGTGGCCCTGACGAATATACAGGCTGAAACAGTAGCAGAAGCCCTTATGCAGATATTCTCCCGGGTGGGACTTCCCAGGGAGATTGTCTCAGATCAGGGTACCCAGTTCACCGCCGAAGTCACGCAGCGCCTCTGGAAGTTCTGTGACATTAAGCCTGTCATTAGTTCCCCTTACCACCCCCAGACGAATGGGCTCTGCGAACGTTTCAACGGTACATTGAAACAAATGCTCCGGACCTTCGCAGAGACCCACAAGGACTGGGAGAAATTCCTGCCTCACCTCCTCTTTGCTTACAGGGAAGTGCCGCAGGAATCCACGGGGTTCTCCCCATTTGAACTATTGTTTGGTCGCAGGGTACGAGGGCCTTTAGATTTAATCAGAGAGCATTGGGAGGGAGAACGGAGCACCAACGGTACTCCCATCATACCGTATGTGTTGGCATTCTGAGACTGCCTGGAGGCCCTAACCCAGACGGTACGCGAGAATTTGCAGGCGGCTCAGACACGCCAGCGCACATGGTATGATCGGGGCGCCAGGGACCGTAGCTTTCAGGTCGGGCAGAAAGTGCTAATTTTAAAACCTGTCCGACACGATAAGCTGCAGGCCGCCTGGCAAGGCCCTTATAAGGTGGTAGAACAAAGGTGTGACACCACTTATATAATAGGCTCTTGCGTTGGTACTGGAGGGCGACGCATGCTCCATGTGAACATGGTGAAGCCCTACCAGGAGCGCTCCGAGGAAGTGACCGCCATATGTGCGCCTAACTCGGAGGATCTGCTGGGAGAGGGTCAGTTATCTGGGGACTTAGGGGAAGTTGCTCTGGGAGACCGGCTGAGCCCACAGGAGCAGAGCGAAGTACAACAACTGTTGAGGGAGAAGCAAGATATCTTCTCTAATATACCTGGTTACACTCCTTTGGCCACTCACCGAGTAGACATCCCAGGTCAACTTCTCATGCGTCAGACCCCGTACCGCATCCCAGAAGCGGTACGGGAGAACACGCGCAAGGAGATCGATGAGATGCTCCAGCTGGGGGTGATTGAACCCTCCAACAGCCCCTGGGCTTCCCCGGTAGTGCTAGTACCAAAACGGGACGGAATGACCCGTTTTTGTGTAGACTACCGGAGACTGAATGAGAAGACGGTATCTGACGCTTATCCCATGCCCAGGATATTCGAACTACTGGACCGGATGGCGAGGGGGCACTATCTCACCACTATTGACTTGTGTAAGGGGTATTGGCAAATTCCCTTAGCACAAGACACCGTCCCTAAGTCGGCCTTTGTCACCCCATTCGGCTTGTACCAATTTAAGGTCATGCCGTTTGGGATGAAAAACGCCCCGGCTACATTTCAGCGGATGGTGGACCGCCTCCTGGATGTGTTCCAAGATTATACCTGCGCTTACCTCAATGATATTGCCATCTTCAGCAATACCTGGCAGGAACACTTGACCCATATAGGAGCGGTCCTGGACAGGATTAGGGCCGCTGGTCTAACGCTGAAACCAGCCAAATGCAGCATAGGAATGGCCGAAGTACAATACCTCGGCCATCGGGTAGGATGTGGCAAGCAGAAGCCAAAACCAGCCAAGGTAGAGGCTGTAGCTCAATGGCCTACGCCTAGGACTAAGACTCAGGTATTAGCGTTCCTAGGAACGGCCGGGTACTACCGGAAATTTGTCCCGAACTACAGTGCCCTGGCCAAACCCCTCACTGACTTAACCCGTAAGAACCTTCCCCGCCAAGTGACCTGGACCCCGGAGTGTGAGCAGGCATTTCAACTGTTGAAAGATGCATTGACCAATGCCCCTGTCTTGGCAGCTCCCAATCCAACTAAACGTTTTCTTGTTCACACAGACGCTTCTATGTTTGGATTGGGAGCAGTACTGAGCCAAGTCGGGGCCGATGGCGGAGAACATCCCGTGGCTTACATCAGCCGCAAGCTGTTACCTCGAGAAGTAAGCTACGCCGCCATCGAGAAGGAATGCCTGGCTGTGGTGTGGGCCCTGAAGAAATTACAGCCGTATTTGTATGGGCAAGCTTTTTCCCTGCTCACGGATCACAACCCGTTGGTCTGGCTAAACCGGGTGGCTGGGGACAATGCCAGGCTGCTGCGCTGGAGATTGGCGCTGCAGCCCTTTGACTTTAATATCCAGTCCCGCCCGGGTAAACAGAATGGAAATGCTGACGGGTTGTCAAGACAAACTGACCTAGAGAAATGATCCGTGAGCCTCCCCAAACATCCCCAAGCCGATCCGTGTTGGATCAGACTGTGTATGCCGGCTTGTGGGCAAGGGGGAGCAGTGTAGCGGATGGCCCTAGGCTGTCCTGAGAATTTCATGTGTTTTAATGCATTCGTGTGGAAACAGCAAAGTTCTATGTATTTAATGTATTGTATTCGTCTGAATGTTAGGTAGTTTCATTCCCGTAGTTTGTTCTAATGAAACTACCGAACAGTCAGACCTCCCTTGTGTGAAGTGTGTCCTCAATTACCCGTTGCAACATTGTTGCGAACGGGTAATTGACAAGTTAAGTAGCCGTCCTTTGTTCTCGGGGGTGGCCGCCATTCGAAAAACGAACACGTGGCCATTTTAAAACTCCACAAGCCCGGTCCGTTCGGTTCCTAACTACCGAACGGCCCCTCGTTCAGTAGATAGAAATAACCGAACGAGGCGATTCAGGCGAACCCTCCCTAGCCTCTATAGCTAGAGGTTTTCGTGCCATTTATTCCCTGACTCCAGGATCGACCGCAGGGCCCATTTACATGGAACCGCATTCGGCTAGTTCACCCAGTGCGGTCGGTCATTTTATTCCCTCCATAAATTTCCCGAACCCCTGGTCTGATCTGGGTGATTTTTGGATATGTTGTTCACCCAGATCAGGGCTACCAGGGGATGTATGATTTAAAGGGGTACCCCTACATTTAGGGGTACATCCAGAAACGGGGGGAATTGCTGTACTGGATAAGGGGATTATGATGCCGGCTGAGGGGAGGAGATGTGTGGGAGGTTACCAGGACAGGATTGGCTACTGTATTAATGAATGTAATCCCTCCCTTGCATGGGAGCATGCTTTAAAAGGCCAGTGTGAAATAAAGCTTTCAGTTCTGCTCCTGAAACTGTGTGTCGTCCAGTTATTGGGATTGCTGCTGGGATACTGCTGTGTTATTTTGCCTGCTGGAAACCTTGCCTGTGGATTTACAATTTACTTGTTCCTGAGCCTCACTTGGATTATAAGCGGAGATAACCTGGGAAATATTGCATCTCCACTACATCCTGTATTTCCTGGTTCCTAACTTCTGACCTGGTTCCTGACTGCGCTGTTCTCCTGAATCCAGCTCTTCTGACTACGTGCTTTGGTTCCTGACCCCTGCACGCCTCCGGGACTTTGCTTTTGGACTATTTTCATTTTTGCTATTCTTTTTATTAAGAAAGATGTTTTGCATCTACGTTCTGTCTCTGTCTGGTTCCTGGTCCCTAACATGAGCCAAGACTAGCCGAACTTGTCTGATCACATAGAAGAGCTACTTTAGCTCGAACTGCTGAAAAACCTAATGCTCGCCATAATAGAAATGTTTCAGTACACATAGTGCATCACAGTTTGCTGCGTATCAGGGTGCGTAGCTGAATACTGATCAGAGTGCCCATAATGACCACTGTCCACTGCAGAAAACACTTTCAATGGAGACATGAGCCTCAGAACTGGACCATGGAGCAATGGAAGAAAATTTCTTGATCTGATGAATCACGTTTTCTTTAAGATCAGGTAGATGGCAAGGAGTGTGTTGTTTACCTGGCGAAGAGATTGGAGCAGGATGCGCTTGGTATGAAGGCAGGCAAACGGAGGCATTGCTATGCTCTGGTAAAACCTTGGGCAATGTTCTGCTAAGAACTCTTGGGTCCTGGCATTCATGTGGATGTTACTTTGACACGTACCAACTAGCAAGAAATAATTGCAGACCATGTACAACCCTAGATAATGCATCCTGCCACACTGCAAACATTGTTCACGAATGATTGAGGAACATGACAAGGAGTTCAAGGTGATGTCTAGGCCTCCAAATTCCCCAGATCTCAATCTGATTGGGCCTTTGTGGGATGTGCTGGAACAACAAATTAAATCAATGGAGGTCCCATTTCACAACTTGCAGGATTTAAAAGGTCTGCTGCTCATGTCTTGGTTTAGATACCACAGGACACGTTCAGAGATCTTGTGGATTCCATGCCTCGAAGCATTAGAGCTGTTTTCGCAGCATGAAGGGGACCTTGAATGGAGTGTTCCTTTACTATTTCACTGCAAATATAGTCCAATAAATCAGTCTCCAAAGTTGGGGCCTATTCTGGGGGGGCTGGCCTGACTTTTATGGACAAACTCCTCCAGTAGCCTGCTATAAACGGCTCTCTGTTACTGCCTAGGCTTGAATCCAAGGAGAGATTTCTGCTTCCCAACCTACTTGACAAATTGAATAGCAGTCTGTTGGCTCATCGGGAGCTTACTTACCACCCACGGCAAATGTGGCCCAGTGCACACCAAGCAGGAGAGGCGGACGATCTCCCGACCTGGAAGTGCCTACAAGCAGCCACCGCCATACACATGTCCCAGGCATCACCCCCTCCTTGGACCGATGGGGATGATCCCAGTCCACCCCAGGAAGGTGACCTAAACCATGCAGGAGCACAGGTTGAAGCTTTTCAAACTGGCAGTATCCACCGTGATTCCCTTGACATGGCGGAGGTTGCATGTTTTCCTACCCCAAGCAATGAACCGCTTGAGCTCAGATCCAAGCTGGACAGACTCTTTGATCATTTCTGGAATGCAGTATGTGCCAACATGCCTCACTACAATCGAGTGAATACTGGCATTGACAGCCAGCATTAAGTCTCTCAGGAGTCCTTAGGGTTCCCTGTGGAAAAGAGCTAAATATGGTGGCGGAGCAGACAGCGAGATTTGCCCAAATACAAAGCAACATAGACTGGCATCGTAGCGGACCACAGCTGGGTCTCATGAAGAGCTGGAGATATTGCAGGAACACTTAAGTATTCCTCTTAAGTGCTGGACTGTGCTCTGTCCATGGTGGGCATCGGGTGAATTGAGGCTCGGGCACTTACTTTGCCATTTTAAGATCATTAATGTAGGGGGAAACAATGTTTTCAGCTTTTATGGGTTATTACTAGCTCTGGTGCACCCTTTCTTGCTGTTATTTATTTGCTCTTCACTTATTTATTTTCTTGGAGTCTGGCCTTGCCCGATATTGCCTACTCTCATCACTTCCTCAACAGGGCGGACCTCCTGGGAACATACTCTAGATATGCTCCATATTAAGTCAGTTATCCATTCTGGCGAATCTCTTGTTACTTTATCTCTGATCAGACTCACATTAGTCTAACTTGTTTTACTAATATAAAATGTGCAGTATTTCTTGTGATGTTTTCTGCTACATTTGTGACATTACATATTTTTGTCAAACTGTCTATTTGTTACGTCTGTCACGTATTTGACGGGAGGAGCCCAGGAGGCAAGAGGAAGCCAAGGCAAAGTACCAAATTTGTAGTCAAGGAAAGCCAGGGGTCAGTTCAGGTGGCACGGGTTCAGAGACGATATAACAGGCAGAGGGTCAGATACCGGATAAATCAGATAAGGCAGGATAGGCACACTGAAGTTGACACTACAGTAAGCACAGTAGAACTGAGCAATGAGTTAGAGGTAGACTGAGATTATATAGGGGAGAGGTATCCACCTCTCACATTCTATTGTTTAGAAGGTGATTAGTCCTTTAAATAACTTTAGTTGTACTGTACCTTTAAGAGGCTGGCGTTCGGGGGGAGCGCGCCTAGTGAGAAATTCACATGTGGCTTCAGCTGGCACCTCCAACGGGTCGTGGCGTGGTGTAGAAAGCGCCGGTAGGAAGTACATGATGCTGTGCACGCCGGAGTCCTCGACTTGCACCGAGAGGAGACCACTGCAGTCACCGACGGAGACACAGGTAAGTGCGGTCGTGACACTATGTAAGCTTAAATGTCTAACTGTGCAATCCTAAAATAAAGAATGCCAAAATTGGGGCCTATTCTTAGTTTGGGGGATGAAGTTCAGTGCATTCACAATACACAACTGGCATCTACATTGACAGCAGCTAAACTGTTTTGTCCCCATTGTTACTACAACAGCTTCCATGGTTGTCAAGGAAACAAGCTATGATGTCACAAAGCATATATCTGAGCTCAGTATGAGTTGAAAACAATGGAAACCTTGACTACTAAAACTGGTAGCAAATAAATAATCTGGATTTATTGCTGAAAAATTAAGAGGAATATTAACTAAAGTGAGAATTCAATGTGAATTCAAAGTGAATTTCAAATTTCAGGTCACGATATCTAAACTGGAAAATTTCTCTAAATCAAATCTGGCCTTAAATTAGAAATTTACTTTGAATTCTCACCTTTCAAAGTGCAAATATTCAGGTGCTGCTGAGCAACGTCAATAGTTAAGAAAACACAAAACATGTTTTTGCACAAATGTATTCTTGGTCTTATTTAAAGGTATATTGTTGGTTATTCCTACAGAAGCCAACTGAATTACAAAATATAAAAGAAAAGACGACAGGAGCAGCCGAGAGAGTAGGACACAGGCAACCTGAGCTCCAGAGATTTTACTCGTAAATAAGCGACAAATCCTGGATTTATGCAATTAACTGTTATCTACACTTGTTTTGCTACTCCTCTTATGGAATGTGCATGCCTTGGAACACTTTAGACTGGCACTTGCCACTATAATTCTGGTTTTGTCACCTGTGGCCTGGTAGTATCTGTGAGAGGGGCAATGCCGCCAATCTTCCATCCTGGCAGTCCCACCCCATCCCCCCTGTCCAGTCTTGGTCATCCCGGTCCACTACAGCAATGCCCTTAGACAGGCACCACACCAAAGGGCCCTTTTGTTAGTGCAATGACACCAAAGATGGCGCAGAATAAATTTTAAAGTGCAAGTGTAACTATACAATTAGCTACTGTATCACCAATTAATACATGCAGCAACCATAAAAACTGGCGAACAGATTCCCAACAAACAACCACTAAATTGGTGCGCAATATCAATTAAAACAGTGCACAATTATCTTGCAATATATATCACGCAAATAGATAATTAAGGTGTATAAGTAATCACTAATTATTAATACAATAATGGTACATAGATTAATTAGGTGCAAAAAATCACCAAATCGTATAAAGTGATTTTCCAGCAGTTAATAAATATAACTTGCACATTATCCATTCGATGATCTCAAGAATCTAAAAACAGAAACAAAGACAGTCCTAGTGCAACACTGTCATATATCAAAAACAGAGATACAATTATAATTAAACAAAAAAAAACTCACTAACATGGAGTGGTTATAGTACCACTCCCAATTGAAGGGCTCAGGGAGGACCAGCCCCTTGTGAATGTGGGATCCAATAGACTCACCACCAGCCAAACTGTTCATTTAAAGCCTTTATTATATTCTAGAAAAGGTTAAAGGTTCAGGTACCTGCCCTCACAAAAAACAGTCTGAAAATGTTTTACTTACTACATCTTAGTGTTTAGTAAGTTACTCTATAAAAGGTAGTTGTAGTTTTTATATCGTAACTGACTTTTTTTGCCCACGTTGACCACCTGAATCCTTACACTTCTTTTTGATGCACCTTAAAAAAAATTTGTTAATATATTCATGAGTATCAGTGTGTGGCGGAACCAACCTCGCCACTGTGCACTGGAGAAGCCTGGTTGCTCGCCTGTTCCCTTTAGACTATGGCCCGGCAGTTCAAACCTTTTATTTTCCCTGCAGAAAGGCGTATTCGTGCCTTTCTACCGGGGTGTTCGGTAGATTCAATCTACCGAACAAAGTACCGATCGATGGACCACCTGGGAACTGGAGTGTGTCGTCAATTGACCACCCAGAAGCTGCGGTTAACCGCAGCTTAATTGACGAACGCTGGGTGGCCTTTGTTCGTTTGCCGAACACGTGGCCATTTTAGCTCCCAAACGGCCAGCGGTTTTCAGCGCCCAAACTATGGAACTGAAAACGGACACTTAATTGCGCGAACACCGCTGGGCCGCCAGCCTCCTTACCTCTACATTCGGTAGTGGAACCGAATTACTGTTCATTCGGTAGTTTAGCCGGATGAACAGCATCACCTCAGATAGCTAAGCCATGGAGCCCATTACTGTAAAGAAAGACTATGGGAAAGACTTTGGCTCCATGGCGATTGAACTGTATGTATGTGATCTGATCGCCATTCGATAATAAGGTGCGCTCAGATCTAAGCTATCTGGGGGTATGTTGAATGTAAAGCTATCTGGGGGTATGTTGAATGTATGTGTTTTGATAATTATTTGCAACAGTGGGTATTTTTGAGTCTTTTTTGTTAACATGTGCTCAATGGAGTTTTGCCTCTGTCCTGGGAGATAATTGGATTACTTCCCAATTATCTCCAGGATAGAGAGGAGGGATTGTAATGCATTGTGGGTGTGTTTCAAGGTGTATGTCTGTGGCTAAGGGCCAATATGTTTCCCAGTCTTCCATCTGGTCCCCTAGGGGAGTGTCCACCAGGTGGGAGACCTGCATAAAAGCCGGGCAGGTAGCCCCAGTAAATCAGTTCTGCTTGATCCTCAAACGAAGTGTCGTCTTGTTCTTGGGGGGAGTTGGATTGTATGCTGTTACAGTGCGACTGCCAGGAGTGTAAGCTGATTGTATGCTTTTCCTGTTAGGCTGTTTACAGAATTCATGTGTTTGCAGTTCGGGAGATTGGTGATTTCAGTAGCTGTCTGTGCATCTGAAAAGGGGAATATCGCCTAAACGGTTTTTAACCTCTTGTGTGCAAAACGGTCCGTTACACAGTGTTTCATATGTTTTTGTTTTTACCGAAGAGGAGGGGGGAAGATCCCACATTTGTAGCAGTGCACCATATCTGTGTTTAGCCCATAGTGAAATAAATTACATGAGCCAGGAAATAATTATTCAGCAGATATATAAAAGCAGACGTTAGCATTTTTTGAGTTGGAGACTAAAAGGTTCAGAAGGAGAACTGAGAAAAAGTTAGGTTGGCTGAGGAGACGTGAATGAATAATTACTAAGCGTATATCGTATAAGGCATACATTGAGCTAAAAGAGCTCCTAAATAATGGTTCTAAAAATGTATGAAAAATAAAAAAGCAAGATAGTATATTTGTGTAAAAATGTCTGATTTTTTAATTTTTTTTATTGTTTGGAAGGTGAGTTTTGCTTTATTTACGATAGCTTGGTAAATAAAACATGTGGACAATAATCTTAAATTATGATACCTGCATACTCTAATGCAGCCTGGGGTGTGCTCTGGCTGCTGTATAAATATTCATATAGGGAGCATACTGAATCGAAACAGAATGAGTATCTAAGGTACAAAATCCTGGATTCAAGGCAGACTTGTCACTACTACTAGACAACAAGAACAAGCCTTTCTGGGATTGAGAGGCTTTAAGGTCGTAACCACTCCCTCAAATAGCCTTCTTACATATTGCAAACCTCAGAATATTTTAAAAACGGACAATCCGCACACAAGGAGGGTTGTAAGAGACACACAAGGGGGGGGGGGGTTGTAAGAGACACAAAGGAAAAATGTACATGAGATACACTAAAGCAGGTAAGACAATCAAAAGAGGGGATAAGAAACATAAAAAGGGGTAAGAGATTCAAAAGAACAGTTAAGAGAAACACAGGGGAAGATTAATTCATTTCTTTTTTTAAATTGTGGGTGGGGGTGGCAAAATACATCTCTGCCTGTGTAGCCAAGAGTCCTTGCACCAGCTCTGATCAATGACAGATCTCCTGTATTCACCTTGGAGGTCCGCCAATCAGCTGTTGCTCCGATCCAGCGGACCACCACTCCCACGAAGCATGAGACTCTGGTCAGCCTCATGGATTCTGGCTGCTGTGCGCCCGCCCCATTTTACGATAAAAGGCATTTTCACTGCAACTCTACCAACATTATTTATTCCGTAAAGTGCCCGTGTGGTCATCTCTTTGTAGGAAAGGCAACCATGTAAACTAGAGAATAACTACAAATCTACTATAAGAACAAAACAAAAATAATTACATGTACCTCCATTTTTTTACACCACAATCACAATGTTTCACAATTGTGCTGTTACATCATAGATCATGTCCCACCATGGAGCAGGAAAGGTGACCGCAAAAATTCCTACAGAAGAGAGAGGCCTTTTGGATCCGTAAATTGATTGGATCCATAGTAAATAATTTGTCTTGGGCTCTTGCTTATGAGCATTATGCTTTTTTTCTGTATTATATGAAATTACATAGTTACATAGCTGAAAAGAGACTTGCGTCCATCAAGTGCAGCCTTCCTCACATTTGGTTTTGCTGTTGATCCAAAAGAAGGCAAAAAACCCAGTCTGAAGCGCTTCCAATTTTGCAACAAACTAGGACAAAATTCCTTCTTGAGCCCAAAATAGCAGTCAGATATGTCCTTGGATCAAGCAGCTATTACCCCACTAATTAGAAATTATATCCCTGTATGTTATGTTTTTGCAAGTATTTATCCAATTGCAGTTTAAACATCTGTATGGACTCTGACAAAACCACCTATTCAGGCAAAGAATTCCATATCCTTATTGCTCTTACTGTAAAAAGACTTTTTCTTTGCCGTAGATTAAATCTCCTTTCTTCCAGCCTAAATGTGTGACCTCGTGTCCTATGTATAGCCCTGTTTATGAATAGATTTCCAGATAATGGTTTGTATTGGCCCCGAATATATTTGTATAATGTTATCATATCCCCTCTCAGGCGCCGTTTTTCCAAACTAAAGAGATTTAAATTTTTTAACCTTTCTTCATAACTAAAATGCTCCATTCCAATTTTGTAGCTCGTCTCTGCACTTTTTTTAGTGCCATGATATCTTTCTTTAGAACAGGTGCCCAAAATTGCACAGCATATTCAAGATGTGGTCTTACCAGCAATTTATAAAGAGGCAAAATTATATTTTCATCTCGAGAATTTATGCCCCTATTTATACATGACAAAACCTTACTGGCCTTAGCAATGGCAGATTGACATTGCATATTGCTGCCTAATTTGTTGTCTATAACAATTCCCAAATCCTTCTCGTGTGTGGTTATCCCTAGTTCACTACCATTTAGGGTGTAAATTGTTTGTGCATTCTTAACCCCGAAGTGCATAACTTTGCATTTCTCTACGTTAAATTTCATCTGCCATTTTAGTGCCCAGTCCCCCAATCTATCCAAATCCCTCTGCAGCAAGGCAATATCCTGCTCACATTTTATTACTTTACAAAGTTTTCTGTCATCTGCAAACACTGATACATGGCTTTCAATGCCCATTTCAAGATCATTTATAAATATGTTAAATAGAAGCGGTCCCAAAACAGAACCCTGGGGGACACCACTTACCACTTTTGTCCAGCTTGAAAATTTACCATTAATGACAACTCGTTGTACTCTATCCTTAAGCCAATGTTCTACCCAAGAATAAGAATATTCATCTAGACCAATTTCTTTTAGTTTGAAGACTAACCTATTGTGAGGAACCGTATCAAATGCCTTGGCAAAATCCAAGTAGACCACATCCACTGCAACACCCTGATCTATACTTCTACTTATTTCTTCGTAGAATGCAATTAGGTTAGTTTGACATGACCTATGTTTCATAAAACCATGCTGATTATTGCTAATAACACAGTTCTTCCCAATGAATTCCTGAATATTATCCCTTAATAGCCGTTCAAATAATTTCCCATTCTCAGAAGTTAAGCTCACAGGTCTATAATTTCCAGGCAAGGATTTTGAACTCTTTTTAAATATAGGAACAACATCTGCCTTCCTCCAATCCTCCGGTACAATACCTGAAACAAAAGAATCTTGAAAGATTAAATAGAGGTTCTCTTATTTCCCCACTTAGCTCCTTAAGTACTTGTGGGTGGATACTGTCAGGCCCCGGAGCTTTATTAACATTAATTTAGCTGTAGCACCTTGTCTCGAGTTATCCAATCACAACTTATCTGCAAGTTTGTTGCAGCAATCATTTGCTTATCTCTTGCCATAGGATCCTCATTAATATATACTGAAGAAAAATAGTTATTTAAAATTTCTGCCTTTTCCTGGTCTTCATTAACTAACAGACCCATCTCCGTTTTCAGTGTACCTACACTTTCATTTTTTGTTTTTTTAGAATTAATGTACTTGAAATTGAAACTGATAATTTCTCTTTTTTTACCTGTAGTTCCTTTGACCTGACATACCCTTACATTGGGGACTACCAACGTAGCAATGCCACAATACAGGTCGTCACAAAGTGGCAAAGTTTGCCCATAATAGCAGTAACTTTCATAGCTTCTATGTCATATGCATGTGTCACTTTAATTGCACATTGAAGTACATAGAAAGGGACTGTAATTACCGTCTCTGTCACTTTACTTAAATCGAATTCCTCTATAGATATTTAATGTCTGCAATGGACTATCTCTATTGCCCAATTTATATAACACGCATTTTGTGTACATTGCACAGGATTATAGTGCAAATACTTCAATGCAAATATTGCAATACTGATTGCTGTGCAAATACTCCTGTGCGGTTCATGTGATATATTAATAAGAGTTTAAACACACATGTAAAATACATATTCATTGTCTGCAATGTTAACATTGTTTTAATGGTTCCGATCATCTAAAATGAATTTTTGTATACACTGTACCTGATAGTTGTGCAAATACCCCGTGTCAGTTTTTCTTTTTGTTTCACAATATTTTTATGTGGGGTTCATGTGATTAATAAAAGTAATTTTATTATGCATAACGAAGGCTCTTGTGAGCCAAAGCGTCATCCATTTTGTGGGATGGTATTCCCCCTAATAAATGTATATCTTTCAGCATTCCGGGAGTGTTTCCAGTGATCCCTTGTATGTACTGATTGTATCTGTCACTCACTAGAATCCATGATATCACAAGAAGCAGCAAAATAAAAGATCTGACATTGTTTTTGTGTGAGAAATGCTACTCAGAAATAGTAAAACATGGCAGTGAATTAAATCCCGATTTGCTTTAGATCATCACAGGAGGTACCAACCCCTGTTTAATCAACCCTGTTAAATTCCTCTAGTGCCTGAAGGGTAAATGAACTTTGTAAGGAATCCTCCATTTCCTTAATCAGATTAGTAACTGACTTGAGTCTTTTTTTGGACACTGTCACAAGATAATGCAATTACATGCAGTAAACCTTTCTGTAAGATTCTGTCTACCATTTCAAGGTAAATGTGGAATCGAACACTCCAACCAAAGACATTTGCAAAACACTTGAAACAATTAAAGATGTATTAGTCCATTAAAATGTTTAAAGATTTGTACCAAATATCTCCTTTACCAATGGCAAAACGAACCATATTATCAGAGCTGGATTTAGAACCTAAAAGCTACAGACAATGCATTTTATAGGGACATGATAGTCACCAAAACAACTTTACTTCACTGCTCAATTCTCTGTAATTTAGGAGCTAAATCACGTTTGTTTCTGTTTATGCATGCCCTAGTCACACCTCCCCTGGCTGTGACTGACAGAGACTGCATGAAAACAAACTGGTTTCAATTTCTTTTTTAATATATAATCTTTATTATTTTCTTAATATTTTATTCACATTAGACAAGAAACAAACTTAAAGCATATATAAAAGAGACTGAAACAGCAAAGGAACACATGAACACAGGAAGTATAGATATTGCACCAAAGTTTACATGTAGTTTGTATATAGATCCTGTATAATAATATATATGGAACTAAATCCAACTACATCTGGTTTCCTCTCTTTCGACAATAAACCAAACAAACAAAAAAAAACTCGAGTGGAGGAGCATATCGAGAGACTATCCACACCTGACTGAGTTTAATATTGCAATATATCTTACTTGATATGTAACATATAATAGGGATTAAATAGGTTGTATCAATATGAAGGAAAAAGACAATAAGTAAGATGAAACATACTTCTTTTACCCTCTCCTGTCTTCCAACCTCTCCGCTAACACTTAACCGGATCAAACAACTTAGCCCTCAAGAAAACCTTGTGCATGTCTAATCCCTAAGGGAGGTTTAAACCTTAGTATTATCCATCTTGGAGACCCAATTTTCCCATTGTTCTATTCGTGGACTAAAAATTTTTTCCTGCCTCAAGATCCCTATCTCTCTTCTACAATGGTTCTGAACCTGAGATTTTATCATTTCCCAGTGTGGAGTATCTGGGAGTTTCCAGAATCTTGCAAGAGATGCTTTAGTCTCCATTAGTATAAGTATAATTAGCTCTTTTTTAAACAATGGGAGATTAGCCCAACCAAGATGAAGTATCATTGATTTGCAGGTAAAGTCTAAATCAACCTCCACCTCTTCTCTAGTACTGGTTTCAATTTCAATCACGTTACCTACTTTATAAATTGTATTACTCGCCTGCTCTGCAAATTGAACTTTAATTACATACAGAAGGCTTCTGCAGGCTCTAGCACGCTATTAACAGAGCAGGAGATCAGAAATGCTAATTAAACAGAATTTGCAATAAAGGAAGTGTAAGCATTAGATTACTTTTTACAGGAAATGTTTAGGAAGGCTGAGTATGTCACATGCAGTGAGGTGTGACTAGGGCTGCATAAACAAAGAGCAGTAAGACTACTGGGGCTTGATCTATACACCAAAACTGCTTCATTAAGCTAAAGTTGTTTTGGTGACTATAGTGTCCTTTTAAGCCTGCACTTCCCAAACTTTCCAAAATTTCAAATGGACAAAGAGGCACATTTTAATTTTAAAAGGGGTTGTTGGGGTGTGGCCAAGGGCAGGGTTGTTCTGAGAAATTTTAGGTGACTTACTAATATCAATTTATGCAACTAAAATACATTAACCCATACAGGGGTTCTCTTGGCTGCAATCTTCCATTAGCCATTTGTATTGAACCTCTGGATGTTGTTACTATCTCATCCAATTGAAGCGGGCTTTCTGACCCACACTCAAAAGCGGAACATTAAAATCACCTTGGAAGCTTGCAGGTCACTTCTATGTGTGACCTGACAACCTCTCTCTCTACTTCGTTGCTTTGGGCAGTTTCCCCTTCTATCTTCCCTATCCCATACCCCTCCTTTCTCTTTCAATTGTTCTTATGATTCTTTTTTTCCTTATTCTTTGTTAATTTTTTTTATAGAAATTGTAAAATTTAAGTCAAGTCCTGATTATATTTTGCTTCTGACAGTGTATTCTTGTTATCAACTTGTCTTGTAAATAAAAAATAAAAAAAATTCTGAATTTTAATATCAGTTATTTTAGCCAGAATTTTGCCATTTGGGTTTAATTTCAGTACCACTCAGGGTTTAGTGAAAAAGCCCCATTGAAAAGATGCATGACTCTTGTGATAACAGGGACCAAGCAGCCAGCCAACAGGCCCAAAGACTCTGTTACTGGGATCCCTGAATAAATCAACCAGGACACACAGTTCCAAAAGGAACAAACACATACTTTATATTTTAATAGTGACTAAGTGTTGCAGACTTCTCCTTAAGCATTTGGTGAAAACCATAAAAATATATACAAACATACATAACTTGAAAAACACCCAACATAATACTACATTGATTATAAAATCCAAGCAGAACTTTCAAAACTATGGGAAAGCACAGATATACATATGCAACTGGTAAGTTTTTTGAAATCTCCTAATTTCCATATTGTAATTATACAAATCAATTTTCAGTTTCCCCAAAAGAATGCAATGGAGAGTCATCACATGTCTGAAAGTTAAAATTCCCAGATTTTACTGTTAACATGACATAAAGTCATGATTTTATTAAAGACACAGAGGCGAGTATTATGCATAACTCTTTCTTTATTCCCTCAGCAGCAAAGATAGAGGAATATAAATATTATCAAAAATGAAAGAAAAAAACTGTATAGGCACACAGGCAACCAATCACATAACAGAGGAAGTGACTATAAAAGGCCTGTGTCTCCCACAATCCCCCTCTTTCTTGCGAAAACCAAAGACCAGGAAACATGAAACAACCTCACACTCGGCAAGAACAGGAAAACCGGAACAAAACGATAACTTCAACCTAAAAGAGAGAGAGAAATATGGTAATAACCAAACTCAAGACTTACCAAACAAATATGTCAGTTGCTTCCTAGGAATGCAAACCTATAATATAGAAAATACTATTAATATAGAATCATAGAAAACCAAAACATCAACACGAAAATATAAAATAAATACACAATAAATATGCAGTAAACAGACCAGATTGCAACATACCTGAAAAATCCAACAGCCTTACCTGAATCGAACATGTGTGTGAGGAACTCCAAGATCATATGGAGAGGGGCAGATACGGGATCCACTGACTGTTCCATGCACCAACCAGACCACGAACTCCATGAAGATCGATAGGCCGCTCTTGTACCTGGAGCCCAGGCGTTATAGAGGAGTAGGAGAGTCGATTGCGGAATGTTTGGGACATCCCAAGGTCCCCTGAAAGGAGCCACACCATCAGGGGTAGTTGGTTCTGTAACACCAGTCTGTGTGAGTTCCCATCCGGATCCAGAAGGAGTTCCTGGAAACTCGGGATCAACTGTGGATAATCTATCGACAACTCCAGCAGTCGCGCGAACCACAGTTGAGACCTCCACAGAGGGGTGACCAACATCAGGGAACAATCGTGACGAACCAGTTTCGAGATCAAGTGAGCAATCATGTTGATTGGGGGAAAGGCATACAGGTGGCTTGTCGGCCACTCCTGAAGGAAAGCGTCTGTCGCCACCACTTCCGGGTCTGGCCTCCAACTGTAAAAATCCGGTAACTGGGTGTTCAGGCGGGATGCGAACAAATCTATCATGAATCGACCCCATAAACTGTCTAGACTCTGAAGCACCGAAACGTGTAAGCACCAATCTCAAGAGTCTCTCAAATGTCTCGAGTTCCAATCTGCCCCCGAATTGTCCAGACCTGGAATGTGTTCTGCTGTCACGAAGACATTGTTGTACAGACAGAATTGCCAGAAATCTTTCGCCAATAAAGCCAACATCTTGGATTTGTTTCCCCCCAGGTGGTCTATATAACGCACTGCCGATACGTTGTCTATCTTGAGGAGAACGCAGCAATCCGCTCGACCTGTGGTAAGGCTGTGAATCGCGAAGGCACCTGCCAAGAGTTCCAGGCATTTGATGTGTAAGGACCTCTATCTTGGACCATCTGCCTCCGGTGGAAACGTTGCCACAGCGCGCCCCCCAGCCATGTAAGCTGGAGTCGGACTCGATCACCACATCTGGTATGGACCCGAAAATGGCTCATCCGTTCCAAGCCTCCATGTGTGCCAACCACCACACCAGTTCGTCTCTGGATTTACTGTTCAGCTGTATTCTGGATTCGTAAGAATGACCTGATCGGAGGTGTGATCCTTTGAGTCGCTGGAGGGCCCAGTAGTGCAACGGGCCCAGAAAAATCGCCTGAATGGAAGCTGCGAGGAGACCGATAATTCTCGCCAATTGCCTAATTGACAACTCCTACACCCGAAGGGCTCGCCGAAGCTCCTTTTGAATTGCTTTTATCTTATACTCTGGGAGATTTAGGAATTGTTGGAGTCCACTCTGAACCTCAAGAACTCCACCGACTTGTCCCAGTTGATCATGAACCCCAAGTTCTGGAGCAGGTTGACCGTCCAATCGACGTGGACTTGCAGTTGGCCTCGGGACTGGGACATGATTAGAATGTCGTCAAGGTAAATAATCAGGCATACGCCATGCGTACAGAGGAAGGCCACCACTGGTCTCATGATCTTGGTGAAGCACCAAGGAGCTGAGGATAGACCGAACGGTAGACATGTAAAACGCCACCGCCTCCCTTGCCAGGTGAAGTAGAGGAAGTCTCTGTGTTCCACCGCAATGGGAACCGTGAAATATGTGTCCTTCAGATCCAGTTTGGCCAACCAATCTGACGCACGGAGGAGGTCTCTGAGGCAATGGATGTCCTCCATCTGAAAATGCTGGTATCGGAGGAACGCGTTGAGGGGTCGGAGATTTATCACTGGGTGGACACCTCCCCCTTTATTTGGTACCAGGAAAAGGTTGCTCGTAAAGCCTGGTGCGACAAACGGCAACTGCTCTATTGCACCTTTCGTCAGCATCTCCTTGCTTTGCGTGGAAATCATCTCCTCCTGTTCCGAGGAAAGGGACAGAAAATTGGACAGGCAGAGATACAAACACGAGGTGATAACCCTGTACGGACTGGAGCACCCAAGTATCTGAAGTCACAGCCACCAATCCCCGGGAGAAAAAGGCCAACCTGCCCGCCACCCGCTCTGGAGCGAGAAGGGAAAAATGGGTATTCACCATAAAGATGTCTGCTGAAGTGGCACCGCGGGGGTATCTGGAACTCCATGACCTCACTCTTGCTGGGAAGATGGGAGGAGCTCTCGGATCCTGGAAGCCCCGGGAGGGGAAAAAGGAACCTCTGTTGGTTCGAAATGAGCCCCGAAGGGACGCGTACCCCGCACCCACGTGACAGCCCACGAGTGCGAGGAGAGAGCCACAGTCGGCAGCGAGCCGCGGCTAACCGGTGCTCGCGGCCCGCGCGCTACCCTGAATAAAGAGCAGACGCCAACCACAGGGGAGTACGGGGAGGAATCTCATCGGCAGGGAAAATACTTAAAATAAACGGGATCCCCACCAGGCACACCACAAGAAAAGAATAACAGTGCAAATACACAGAAAGTACACAGTATTAATAAATAAACACACAGAGAAAACAATAATAACTAGAAAAGCTACAATTTCTGAGGAAATTGTGTGAAGTGTTCTTGCCTCCACCAGTAGTCTACAACTGGAGTGGGCGGAGTAACTGTAAACCATACATTTATAAAAACATTAGCAGGTGTTCAAAAGGCCCTGTCTATGACATCACTTGCTACTGCAGCCTGGCACAGGTCAGAGTATTTTGGCGGTTGCCATCTTCAAACGGTCGTATTTTAAAAACTATAAATCCTACAGCGAAGAGCTTTATATTGTGAGAATCACAAGACCCAGACCTACATTTTGATGCATAGTATGTCTCTGAAGTATTAAAAATGAAGGCACAGTCGCAGTTTAGAAATTGCACTTCAAATTTGAGCTTTGTAGAGTGAAGTTTCAATGAATGTCAATGGACGGCGTTAGTTGCAAACAAATGATTATATTGTGAAAACTATCAGGACTATGGCTTAGCCATTGACATGTTTAGTGGCAGCAGGGATAGCTGAACGTTTTGATATAAGATTTGTGTAGGTGGGCCTGAAAATAAGGGGGTGGTGGCTGTTTAGAAATCATGTCCTGATTTTTCAGCTTTTGCAGTTCTCACTCTAGCTTTGCCATTCATTCCTATGGGACAAATTTCGCCACAAGAACGACGATATTCCGTGAACCATTTGGCGAAACGTTCCACAAAGTAATAGCAATCCGATCGGGAACAATCTGCACGTTTTGGTACATTTTTGTCTATGTAGTGTAAAAGCTGTGGGAGGAGTTAGGGTGGCAAATTTGGCTATTATAAGAATAATAATATATATGTGAGATAACAATAAGTGGTCTTGCTATGCAAGAACACTTAATAATGGAAAATCAAGGAACATAAATTTACATGAGGAGCAAAAATACTTAGCTGGTCTGAGGGAGCAGCAAAGAAAGAGGGGGGTTGTGGGAGACACAGGCCTTTTATAGTCACTTCCTCTGTTATGTGATTGGTTGCCTGTACGCCTATACAGTTTTTTCTTTAATTTTTGATAATATTTATATTCCTCTATCTTTGCTGCTGAGGGAAAAAAGAATGAGTTAGGCATAATAGGAGCCTCCATTTCTTTAATAAAAATCACCTTCTAAAGCAAGGGTATCCCAACCTTGCATCAATGGCAAACCCAAACCAGGGTTGAAAGCAGTCTGAATGACCATGTGTACCTGCCTCCTCAAAACAAAACCACGTTCCGGTGGTCCTCTCCAAGTACCAAGGTAACAGAGGATTATGTTACATACATATTGCCATAGGTGTGATTGTATAAGGGTGTGCACCCTAAAGCACAAACACACACGCCGCGTGTATGTGTGTGTATATATATATATATATATATATATATATACACACACACACACTGCTGTGTGTGTGTGTGTGTGGGCGATGTGTGTGTGTGAGGGTGGTGTGTGTGAGGGTGCTGTGTATGTGTGAGGGTGCGGTTAGTGTGTGTATTGTATGCGTGAGGGTGCTGTTAGTGTGAGCGTCAAATATACTTATATATTGATTCCTCTCTTGCAACTGTCATTAGTCTAATACTATCCTTACCTTTTGTGTCACTTTACCCCACTCCCTCTAGCATGTAAGCTCATTGAGCAGGGCCCTCAACCTCTCTGTTCCTGTGTGTCCAACTTGTCTGGTTACAACTACATGTTTGTTCATCCACCCACTGTAAAGCGCTGCGGAATTTGTTGGCGCTATATGAATAATAACATAATAATAATACTTGAAATCAATCATTTGGCGGGTTGCCTCAATTCTATAACTTGGATGCGCCATATGGACATCGACTCACAGATGGGACAAGCATGTTTGTTTGATTTGTGATTAGGAGTACAGCATAAGGCCCGTCAGAAAGACCATGGTGGCAGTGGCAAGGGAGAGGTTCACAGCTATCCATACAGTGAACCGTGCTTGTCTACTGTGACCATGGTTAAACAGGCAGTTGCACCTTCCTTCAGTCCCTTTAACACAAGATAATATAGCTAGGTTGTGTGGTGATTGGGAGGATGAAGGGCATATCCTGTGTAACACCGACAGCTTGGAGTGCATCAACACCAGCTAACCTGTCCATCTTTGTGCTTTACCAAGCAGTATCTGGCAAGTCCCCTATACTATATAGATCCTCCTCTGTCCCAGTTCCAAGCCTCCCAGTGTTAGAAGGCATGCAAAGTGATATGGGAGCAAGCAAACATGGTGGATCTGCTAACCCTCTCTGGGGTTGAGATTTTCACCATGTTTTCCTGGTCACAACAAATTATTATTTCATGTTGATAGGCAACACACTGAATGTGCTGCCTTTCAGTCTGTAGCACTGAAATGCTGCATGGTTCTTCGTAGTCATGGATTAATTGCCTATCTGCAGAAATGAAGGACAGCAATTTTCATGTACAGCCCATCATTAAGTAGCAATTGTATGCTGCATGGTTCTTCTGAGTCATGGATTAATTTCCTATCTGCAAAAAATAAAGGACAGCAGTTTTCATGTACAGCCCATCAGTATGTAGCAATTATATGCTGCATGTTTTTTTCTGAGCCATGGATCCATTGCCTATCTGCAGAATTTAAGGACAGCAATTTTCATGTACAGCCCATTAGTGTGTGTATAAGAGTTATGTGTCCAATGAAAAACAGAAGATTTGGTAACTAACCCCTGCCAACAGTGCACTGTGCACAACAAGCCCCACTTCCAATGCGGAACGTTTCTCGCGCGTCCCTTGTACCCCGCGTCAGGTTTACAGTGACGGACCTTGCTTGGGATGGGACGGAAAGGAAGATTTTCCATGACAATAGCCAAACAAAGCACCGGGTGACACTCAGACCGTAAAGCAGAGACCCCCGGACACAGGGCGAGAGTCACGGCTGGTTACTGAGGGTGTCCCATGCTATAGAGCCCCGGATCCCCTGCTCACAGCGTGCTGTTACCGAGGGCCCCTGCCATGGCTGCCCCTGAGGTGCTGGAGGAGTTCAGCTCCGGAGAGGTCTGCTCGGGGGGCTGCGGGGACATCGCAGATTTCCTCCAGGAGGAGAAGGCGGAGGATGAGCTCAGGGTGACGTTTGAGCAGGCGGCCCAGCACGCACAGAAACTAGCCCACGTGGCCAGCACAGAGCAGCTCCTTTACCTGTATGCCAGGTACAAGCAGGTAATCAGGGAGGGCAGGCTGGCTGGCAGTGCTGGGAGCGGGGGGAGGGTGGGTAACTCCTAGCCACTTACAGCCCACCAGGGATTGTAGGAATCATTGCCCAAGCCCTGAAATGGGCACTGCATGATTTGTGGGGTATTTGTTCCCTGCATACTGAAATAGTTGATGTGAATTACTTAATCATATTTTCCCCATCCCATTTATGTGTTTTTAATGCTTAAAGGGATATACTTCATCCTATTGAAATGGTTATGGTGCAAAGACCACTTTAGGGTGGACAACTGTTATCAAACTGATATAATAGGCCTTTAACCCCTTAAGGACCAAACTTGTCATACGTCCTTAAGGGGTTAAAGCACTGTCAGTCGGTGAGCTACGAATTTTAGCTCTTGGCACACACAGTGCTGCGCAAAAGGCTTTACAGGGCATGGAAGGACTTCCACACACACACTACTCTCAGGGAGTGAGCACAATTCATTTGTAATGATTATTGCTGAGTGTGCGCAATCCCTTGCAGCAACAAACATCACATGTGGACATGCAAGCACTCACTCCCATGGAGCAGCTTCTGCAATTTTCCAAATCAGGAGTGACGTAACTCTTTGGTATGCAAAATTAGAAACTGTGCTTTAAAGGAGCTGTATGGGTGCCATAACTCTTGACTGGAAGCATGTTTGAGCAGGGTCTTCATCAACATACTGTTCACGTAACACTTTGCATTTTTCTCATTTATTGTTAAATATTGGTAAATTTCCCCCTCATTTAATATTATTAAGTGCTGCGGGATATGTTGGCGCTATATAAATGCACAAAATAATACTAATTATTACTTAATTGAAACGTACAATTTTTATGAATGGGGAAGTACTGATTGGCTCTTAGAGTGTCAAATCGCCACTCTAAACCAATCAGCAGCGCCTCTGTCTGGTGACGCTCCATGCTTTCTGAAACAGCACTGAAGAAACTGGATGTCAATGGGGACCGGGAGATACTGCACTTGAGAGCAACCTTCGGAGTTAAACTGTTCGAATGCAGCAGAATCAATGAATTCACACCCCAAATATGACACCTAAGACTGAAATGCCATATTTAGGCCAGAGGGTTTATTTATTTTGCTGTCTTTCAATGCTGGCTGTATATTTAAGATTTCCTTATCTGTGGTTTATGACACCAAGAATGCATTTCTAATATAGAGGATTTGTTGCTGCTTGTTTTGCAAACATCTGTTACATTCTATGCTGAAAATAATTTTGGACATGTGGTGTCTCTTGATTAGAACATTGTGGCATGGTTTTGTAGAATAGACTATTGCTGTGTTTTGGTATTTTTTTTTAATTTTTTTTTTTAAAGGGGCTCTTTAGAAAGTTAGGTTCTCTCATAGGTGAAAATGACCAATTTATGTATTTGTAACGTTTGCTTGTGTAATAAAATAATTTATTCCAGGTAAGAAGTCAAATCGTGAACAAACAGAAGCACTACTTGCATATTTTGCAGCACTTTACAATATCTGGCAAATAATTGACATACAAAATATTACTGACAGAGCCAAAAGGCGAAGAAGGACATACACAAATTAAATTTCTTCTGTAGGATTCCATTGTCACACTTTATTATATAGTGTATCAGGTTGATCATTTGCAGTTAGTAGTGTCCATTTATTCCTTTTTAGTTTGCCTGTAGATTTTGGATATTTGGATTTCATATGTTTTATTGTTTGTTTTCAGGTGAAAGCGGGAAGGTGCACAACTGCCAAACCTGGATTCTTTGACTATGAAGGGAAGAAAAAATGGTAAGATAAGAGGAGTTGAAGTGTTTCACTTATTGCAAAGTAAAGCAGTTACTTTTCATAATTTGCAAAGACCCCCAACATTGACTTTTTCCCTGTAGTAATCACTAGTGACGGCAGAGTGAAATTACAAAACATGACAGCGGTGTAGCTTTGCATTTTGTACTAACATAAAGTAGTCCCTACTTTGTCTCAGTATATCTTTTGACTGCATTGGAATTTCAGTGAAATTCCAACACCGTCAATGTGAATATTTTATCAAGATTTTTGGAGAGGGCCATGAAAATGCTGCTTTAAAGCGTCTGTCACTTTTGTTTTTTTTTTTCCTATTTAAATGTCCAAAATCTTGCCCCCTTTTAAAGAAAAAAAAAAGTTATGAATTAGGAAAAATAGGGACAAGATTTCTTTAAGCAGCTTGACAAAAGATGACAATGAGTTGAGCTTTAGTTAATTTAGTAAACCTCCAAGGCCCTTGTCAACTTTCTTATTGTTTTTTTAACCTGTACTGACTTCCTTTGTTGCGTCACTTCTGGGAGCAGCATGTTATGGATCCTCAGTGTTGATATTTGTGCGGTTGTACGTGTCAACACAGGAGGTATGTGTGTCAAATGACACACATACCCAAGAAAGGGCAGAAGATGCAATATCCATCAGCATGTTAGATGGCACACTGAATGAAGACCTAGAGAGACTGGCACAACTTTGGAAAAGGTAGATTGCACTGGTGCCGGGTTCAGAAATGAATAGGTGGATGGTCAGAATGGCATCAGTTGAAATTCAAATCGAATTAAAGCTGCACTGTCACCCCACCACCCACAAAATATATGTTTCATAAAGACAAAATCTTTTTGAAAAACTCATATTGACTGTGTTCGAATTTCACTGAAATTCCAATACTCAAAATATATATACTGAGACAAAGTAGGGGCTACTTTGTCTCGGTATTTTTCCTGTCCGGAAGAAGATGGCAGCGCCCACGAGGCTTGTAAATTATATGAATTTGTATATTTATTGCACACCAGATTGACCCTGACTAGAAATCTTGGTGCCAAATAATTTGTGGTTTGACCAACTACAATACATCTTCTCTCAACGCACATGGAACATTGCTGTTGTGCATCACTTGCATATCTCACTTTGGACTGTGGAAAGTCTACCTTGGGCACAGAAATTCCCAAGAAGTTATGTTTCCTCAACTATCCTAGCTTGACCCTGTTTTAAAACCAGGGTGTAATCTGAGACACATTGTCTGTCTGTACTCCTTTCCACATCAAGCGGGAAATTCTGGGATAGTTGTGGAAACGTGATTTCTCAGTTTCTGTGCACAAGTCTTTCTAAAGTCCAACTTGTGATTTGCAGGTGATCCACAATAGTAACTCGGAATCTCTATAATTATATATTGTTTTCATAACCTTTTATCCTTTCAATGTTAGCTGTCAATGTACAGCGCAAATGTCTGATTCAGGGCTTACTGTGTAATATTATCAAGTGATCATTTTCACAAATTGTTAGGCACTGCAAATTTGAGACATCTTATCTGGCCTGGTAAAATTTGTATAATCCACAGTGGAAAAATGAAATTTCAGGAAACTTTTGAAGCAGTGGAAGACTTTTTATTTACTTTTTTTATTGTAGTAGAAAAAGATTTACACTGAGCAAACCTTATTGTTTACACCCTATCGAGCGATGCCACCATTTATCATTATCCCCTTTCTCTCCTTAGGGAAGCATGGAAAGCTTTGGGTGACTGTAGCCGTCAGCAGGCCATGCATGATTATGTCAGCGCCGTGAAAAAGCTGGATCCTGACTGGGTCCCAAAGGTATGAAGATACATTTCTAACATTAATCTTTCATTGCTTGTAAAAAATAACCACTTCAGGTACATGGTTACACTGCACATTTAAGGTTGTGAAAAAATATGCTGTAGTGATTATTCACTAAATAATTAACAAACTAGTGAAAATTTAGTCACGGCTGTTTTAGTCTAAAGTTTTCAAATCAGCTTTCCGTTAACTGCATTTCAGTGTCAAGTGAACAAACTTTTATATGTCAAATGCATGTTCATAGTTGTCTTTGTCTTGCAAAGAAAAAAAAAAACTGCAGCATAACACCTCCCAAAAGAAAATCAGATCAAAACTAAAACTGGTTAGGTAACTTTATTCCACTGATTTTATAAATTCAGTGCTGCGTGTGCCAGAGAATTGCGGCCACAAGTAATGGAAGCAACCAAATGGAGAATTTACCTTTTTTTTTTTTTCAATTTCATCAAATTTGTCACGATGGAGAGATATCAATGTTACCATTGTGACGGACCGCCTGGCACCCTGACTGGGTACCTCTGTCAAGCTTGCTTCCTAGCTCTCCTATGGACACCAGTAGTGCTTCAGCCCCTAGCTGCTGCAGCTTGGCTGGCGTCTCTCCGTCGCTTCTCGCCCTGGAACAGGGTCCTGGGTACAGCTTCAAGTGATTTAAGCTCTCCTGCAGGGAGTATAGCTGATCCACCCAAACACTAACCCAGACTGAGTGAAGGATGAAAAGGAACTGCTTCATTATGGCCAAGTTGCCTGCTTACATACACAACACCCAGCACGGGGTCTCCACACAGTACAATGCAAGCCCCTCCCTAAGATCTCTGTGCCTTGGAGATAATTGCGTTAAAGACCGGTAAGCTAATTATCTCCCAGGAACAGAGAGGCAAACACAAAAATATAAAACACAAAAAATACCCCAAAACAGCATACAAATATGCAATAACCCCACAAATAATACATCCCCAAATAGCCCTGATCTGAGCGCCCAAATTCTCCACATAGCGCTGAGATCCATGCAATGCAGGGGAAACGCCACGTGTCAAAGTTCTGCTTTGGCTGGTCAACTTTCGGGAGCTCCTGTGTCCGAAATATGGGGTGCTCCGCTGGCTCTTAGATGGCTTTTGTGCCACTTAGTCTCGCGCACCTTCACTACAAAAAGAGCTCTCGTGTCAGTTGCAAAGTCGTTCAAAACCCCAGACCAAGTTGTCTGGGAACCACACGGTCACCTCATGCCGAAAACAGTTCCATAACATTCGTGGCTAAGTACCGCTGAGGACAATTCAGGGTTTATTCATGCGAACAGCCGCCAGGGAGCTAGTGTTCGGTTCTGTTCGAATGAAGGGAAAGTGCCGAACCAGGGACACCCAAGGAGAGCTGCTAATGGCGGCTGGGGAGGCTAACTGCCGAGCGGGGTCTCAGACCTGGACTATAGTCGGTGTGCAGGAGGCCAGCTTCCACACTCCTCCAAGAGTTTGTGGCAAACATGCATTGTAAAGAGCGTTTATCACAACTATGTTCTTGCATAGAAAAACTGTGGTCTGTTAATGCACCTAGCCCGTGCACTTTATGAATACTCAAAGACTGGGATACAGCTGATATAGTAAAAAAAAGAACATGGTGTAATACAGTTAAGTATAAACACACACCCTGCTAAAATTGCACTCAGAAGAGTTATAGATCGAAAGGGTGCCTCCCCTGATGTAGGTGGGTGTCTATGATCCCCTTCTTTAGTCTGTATTCACCACTTGTAAATCAGGAATCATCCAGGACTCTGAGTAGTAGGTAACTTAAGCAGCTTTTATCATGACAATAAAATTTATAAAGACAAAATAGTATGGTCCTAAGCGTTTTGTCTCAAAAATGGGACTTCCTCGGGGACTGTAAGAGTTGAAACCGTAACAACATAGCCCACCACCTACATCGGGGGAGGCACCCTTGGAGCGCTTTCAATCTATAACTCTTGTGAGTGCAATCTTAGCAGTGTGTGTGTTTATGCATAACTGTATTACACTAGGTTCTGTTTATTTTTTTGTTTTTACATTATATCCGCTGAATCCCAGTCTATTTTGTGTATATATTGGTTGTGTAAAGATCACTATCTAGGAAGTGATCTGCGTGAAGCTGTTCATATTTAGAGATAAGTATAACTCACATTGTGGAATAGTGGTGAAAGTTTTAGTTTGTGTTTGTATACTGTCTGAATACGGTAAGGTCTGTTCACTCAGCTTTCGTTTAGTTGTTCAGTTGTTTCAACCACAGGGTTGGAACATGAATATGATGGCTAGAGCAGAGAGGGAGTCTGAAAAGGAGCATGATGTATGTCTGGAAATAAGGAGCAACAAATTATGCTCTGATAGGATATATTTCAGATATGAGCTACTAATTCTGTTTGAACTCCTGTGTGAGGACTTGGATTCACTATCACATGATAAAAACATTTTAGTAAAATAATAATTTTTTTCTTAAGAAGATCTTTAATAAGATTGTACAATAAATGTATCCACACACACCTCCAGCTTGTCTGGTATGCACCTCCTTTATACACCCCCCTTGCCCTCACTTTCCATGCTGCTCCACACTGTGGAGCTATTTATTTAATATTTAATGGGGACTCTAATTATAATGAAAAGGGGAGGGACAAAAGGAAGATGGTAAGAGGGATAAATTATTAACAATGTGACTTAATTACCCTCTCTAAGCCATTGGCAGTGGGTCAGGGCTCTAATTAAATATACAAGTGGGTGGACATACCATTGCCATGAAGGCTCAGCGTAGACTGAGCTTGCTTATTGGGAAAAGCCCTTATAATGGCTTTCCCAAGCTGTGCCATTTGTCAGAGCTCGTAAACAACCAATCAGAGAGCTCTGGTAGGCAAGTCTTGCATGTGTCGCGACTTGTGTGGAAAAGTTATTCATTTAAATTGAAGCCCCACCCTATATCCCTCGTGTAAGTTTCTCGCTGTTTAGCAGACTTGCTCCCTTTGGCGGCAAGAGGGAGATGTATAACCTCCGTTGTACTAAAGTGGAGATCTTACTGACCCCCATCGGGGCTTTTAAAACAAAATTTAAACTAATTGCCTGGCTGGCTTCTCAACAACTTTTGGTTGTCATTATTTTCAAGGCCATTTGTTGAGAATTATATCTTGAAAAATGTTATTGAATCATCGATTCCAATAATATTAATAAAAATTATGTTCTTCAATTTAAATATTATTAGCATCAATATTGAATGGCAGAATGTAGACTTGGGAAAACAGTAAAAGTAAAATACTAATATAAAATATAGAGACCAATATAAACAGAAATAGCAGTGTGGGTAAAAAAAATATCCCCTTCTTAGTTTTAAGATTAGAATGGCCTGAGCCATGAACATTTTTAAAATTCCTTACAGCATTTGCTTCTGTTGCCTCCGCTAGGAAGCTGTTCTTTTAATCCTTTACTTAGATCATTTCTGTTGTCTGGCAAGGTTCAAATGTATAGCCTTTGCATGCCTGATCTTCTTAACTTGCACCACCTCATAAGTCCTCTAGGTGCTGCTCCAAGGCCATCCAAATACATTACCACTGTATGAGCACACTTTGCTTACTACTTGCTGTGTTATGCTTTGTTTTGCCTGCAGGGGGCTGTATAACATCCTTTTTAATACTTTGATATAATCCCTTCCAGCTTTCTGTCGTACATTCTCTTTAACAATACTCTTGAGTCTCTCATTTGAGTGATAGATGTTGACATTGATGCTCCTGTATTTATTTGCTGAATATTTTGTCATCCAAAACTGTATTTATATTTGTGTGTATATGTATGTATAAGTAGAGATCGTATGTATGTATACACACATGTATGTCCGTGCATTCTCTAAGTGCTTTACAGTTGTCAGCTACCACAACTTGTTGCTTATTGACATTCGTATTAGTGTCTTTAATTAAAAATAAATGTATTTTAGTATAGAAGGGTAAATAATTATCTATTTTGTCTTCAGTATCTTAGACAAGCAGAGTTGAATCATCCTTTGATTCTTCCGATGTTGATAAAAGATACAATGGTGATAGCATATAAATAGGATATATATATATATATATATATATATATATATATATACAAAAACAATGAAAGCTTAATGTGTCCATTGTTAAATTATTCACTATCACTTTTAATCACCATCACCTACACTATTGCATTTAATATATACTGTTGGTAAAATGCCTTTCATTGGTTGGCAGCCCTGCATTACAGTATAGAGGATGTACAGTAAATGAATAAGATTCAGACAGTATTGTTTGTTTTTACATATTGTACTTCACTGTGGACTTAGTTGTGTGGGTGTTGTATGGTCAAAATGTATTATCCTAAAAATACCATGTTTGGCATTCCTCCACTTAATCGAGGATCTGCTCGTACAGACTTGATTTGTACACCTAAGACGCTTCTTTCTTTTGATATCAAAGCATCAGAATCAAATGCTTGCAGACCACCCGGTGGTAAAGGTATTTTGTACTATGTTCAAGAGATCAATAAAATACATTTCTCAAAAGTTCCATATATTTATACAACAAGCAATCGTTCCAGTGTTAATCAAGCAAAATAGAAATATATTAAGCATGTTGGAGCTTATTACTCCCTACCCCAAAATTAAAACCCCAAACCCTCTGGAGTTGGTGACGGACCATAGCATTGAATTTACTGCTCCCATGATTGATCTTACTCTTCCACTAATTATTTTTTAACGTCAGCTGTCTTTGCCAGTGTACAAAACATGAGTGTGCAAAAGTAAAATGCTAATCTGAATTCAGCTTCAAGTTCAGTGTTCAATTTTATTAAACTTGTATAAAAACCATTTGTTGGTGCCATTGGTCTATGCTATATCAACTGCTGTAGGGTGCTTTAGCTGAATGTTAGTGATTCATTCAGGCAGTGATGCTTTAATGAAATTTGAGGTGGGAGGAGTAATGTTTTCACAAAATAATTTACACCAGACTCTTTACAAAGCGACAGCCTCCAACTTCTCCTGGAAGAAAATTGACATGAACATACTATAAACTACTAGCTGACCACTGGCCGTTTTTTTTTTTTTTTTTTTTAATGTTTACCTGCTCCTTCTTTAATATGGTACTAATGCATTGTGGGGCACAGTTGTCTTGGGGCTTTGCTGTCACTTTAAAATTACATGTCATCCAAACTGCTATAACGTAAATTTTATAACGTAGAGCACAGGCCTGCCCTACAGGAGTCTGAACCGACCTATTATAAGAAATTTGTTGCACTACATGATATTTCATATATTTTGGCCTGTGGGTAATGGTTACATAGGTTAGAAGAAATTAAAATCTTTTTAGAACATACATCTATCAATTTATGATGAGTTCTATCCCATTTGAAATCAGTGTCTCCCTTTTTTTTTTTTTTCTTCTCCCTTTTATATTTGTATTTATTTCACATTAGTTCCACTGTGCAGAGAAACTCCACAATCTTTATTCTATGCTTCTTGTTTGCAAATGTATTATTTACACAGTAGGTATCGGTAGACTGGATGTAATAAGATCCTGTGAAAACATTATGTAATCATGGCAAGTGGTTTTCGAATATGCCAAGAATTATTGTATAATCGTTAAAGCGATACTCCAGGCACCCAGACCACTTCTGCCCATTGGAGTGGTCTGGGTGCCAACTCCCACTACCCTTAACCCTGCAACTGTAATTATTGCAGTTTTCATAAACTGCAATAATTACCTTGCAGGGTTAACTCCTTCATTAGTGGCATTTTCAATGCTTTACTATGGAGAGCTCTAATGCACATGCGCGGCATTGCCGCGCATGCGCATTAGGTCTCCTCAGCCGGCAGGCAGGATCAGTCTCCCCTGCCAGCTGACGTAATGAAGAGGAGGGGCGGCGGCCCCTTCAGCAACCGGGGATGGGTGGTGGGAGGGAGAAGGGACCTGCATTCCTGGCACTTGAGAGTCCCTTTAACATTCACAGTTATGTACTCAGAATGATTTTGTTTCATTCTAGTGGAGTGGATCTGTGGCAATTTGCAGTTTACTGGATGTGTGGTGCCATTAAAGGCACGTGGGCTATATAAACCATTTTAGTGTTAGGGGTAATCAAAAAAAAATGTAAAACTCTAAAAAGCTATAATTAATGACAAAATCAACAAATTGTGCTTTATGCATATTCCTTGTAAGTCCGCAAGTGTAGAAAGTTTTGTAGGGGAGCTTTTTATTACTGTTTTGGGACACCTGTTAACATGCATGACATCAGATACAAATCCCTCCCAGCAGCTCGAATGCATGCTTGCTCTTTAAATATAATGTCACAACCTAGCCGTGCTTTGACCCTTAAAATCGCTGTAATTAATACAGTGCAGGCTGGCAAGGGAGGAAAGATTTACCCCATCCATCTGTTCTAGTGATGTACCCCCAAGTGACCAATAAGGAATCCTATTGAATAGGGGATGAGATCTTCTATAATGTCACCAGGAAAGATTGATAATAAATATAAAAAGGTTTACTAGATGTCAGAGGTACAAGGTTACAACAAGTAACCCAGCAAGTTTTTCAAACGCATTCCCTGATGATTCAGTATCTCGTTTTTAACCAGTTACTAAAATCTTCTTTAGTGCACCAACTATGAAAAGCTCAACGAACATTTACGGGTGCCAGGTGGAGCTATATGAGTTTCATGTGTCATCAATAATCGTAATATGACATGTCAAGTACATATAAGCAGCAGGGAGATATATAATGCAAAAAACAATTGGCACAAATTGCAACAAAATTATATATTATGGATTAAAGAGAAAAATATACCTAGTATAGTAGTGGTATAAGAAAGCATCTATTCTCTAAATTACTAAGTTATGTCTCCTGCATTCCATCACCGATCACATCCGTCAGCTCAGTAAGAAGGCATCGGTCTCTAGCAGGTGCGATCTAACGGATAATCTCTCCACTATTCTCCTGTTAGAGAAATCGGGCATAGCAGTTTTACAGTCCATCTTTAAAATGAAATATTAAACAAACTGTTACTTAAGCATGGAGATTGGGATAACCACCACTGGTGAGAAAAGTGTGGCGGGGGGTGGTGGAGGAGGACAGGCCTTCAGTCTCAGTTTGTTTGCAGCAATATCGATCAGAATTGGAAACCACTTTCTGGGAGACCATGGCTTCTCAACCAAATTATAGGTCCTACAGTGAGCAGTAGGCCAAAGAGGTTGTAAACGGAGTTCTTAAAGGGTAAATGTATTTATACCAAAGAGCAGTGAGTGATCAGAGCAGTTGTAAATAAGCAGGATGGCTGCCAATTTTTAGACTCAAGATCCGAGCTGTGAAAGATGGCATCCCGTCAGCCCGATGGTCCAACCCCCTCCCCACGCTACTGAGTTGTATTGGCATATGCGGTTATCCAGAATGTGGATACTACTTCTTAATTTAGATAGCATGGAGACATGGCCAGGATTTTTTTAAGGATCGTTTAACTAAGCATTAGAATGGGGAAATACTTTGTCTTGGCCAGTTCGAGTAGTTTATAGCTCCTGGGGTTTTTCATGCACTACAACTTATAGTTTAGCGACGATAGCATAATAAACAAAAGGCATTATCTGAAAAGCAGTTCTTTCACCTGGAATATCTTGCTATTGTGAGACATCAGATGGGCATATATACTGTATATATTTTACTTTACACACATACTCCAGCATTTAAATTTTATTACTCCAGAAAATCGTAAAAATGCAAAAACATGCCACGGTTACATAGATGCAATTGACAAATCAGAACTTTTGCATGGTCTCTGAAGTGCAGTATGTTGCTTTAACCCTTGACCCTGCAATCATTGGTAATAATTGATTGCTTTTTTTTTACACCGTGGAGGACTAATTGGTTAATGTGCCAAACTATGCTGGGAAGACTTGTCTTTTCATTTAGTCTGACTGGTTATTTAATGTTTGGGGGGGAGGAAAAACTGTCAATTGGCATCATAGTACAAAGATCCTTGTATTCGTGCTAATTTTTTTTTTTTTTGTATTGTGTTTGCAAGCTCTTTTTGCTAGTTTCCAAGTCAAGGTATTGCCTATTTATCTTGTTTTCAGAGAAAGACTCCCGTGTGATGTAAGAAATAGCCAGGCTTGACTTTTACAGCCCATATAAGATGTGGCTCAGCTTGTCCTCTTGATACGCAATGGCTCTGATCACACTGCTCTTTAATCCAGAAAACGATCCTACACAAGTTGAAGCCATCTGCTGCTACCCCTCACCCCCCTTCCCTTTTAGCATTGATACTTCACTCTTGTTGCCCAAGGGAGCAGTTTGTAAATTAATGTGTTATGGTTGCAGAGGGAGTAAGTTGTCTCTGTGTGTTTTGTTAACTGCTCATCTCTGGTTTGTGCACATCATTTCCCTCCTTCCCTATGGAACTAGCAAAACCTGATATGGGAAGTGGGCTGTTTGTGTTTGATGCACACCCCCTCCCACGCACATACACACAACACCACTGCCATACCTTCCTTGTCATTGCATCCTTTAATCCTTTGCTGGGGCTGTTTTGTGTCCCCCCCTACTTCTGTCATCTGCTACAGAAATGCAGGGATTTGGGCCAGGAGAACGCTTCTCCTGGGGGATCCATTGCTCTCCAACTAATTGAATTATGGGTTTGGTGTCCGCATGGTAGGAATACAAATCAAAGCAAAGAGGGAGGGGGAAAGGAGATGGCCAATGATGACAGTAATGGGGGTAATGCAATTCATTCTAAAACCAAAGAACCAAGCACTACGTACACTGTATAAGGAGAACGTGGTTTAGGTGGTTTAGTCCACAGGTGTAAGGTAGGCTCCTTTAAATAGAATTAGAGTGTTCGTCTTTAAATGCAGACATAGTTTTGTCCAAAGTCCAGAAAACTGATTATTTTAAGGATTCTCTAAAACAAAAATAGGACTTAGACCCAAAATTGTAATTTTTAACCTCATTAGATGAGTTTTGAGTTGAGGTTGTTTGAATATCTAGGCAGAACACAGTGATTACCCTATAGTATTACTATCACAAAATATGTGTTAACGTCTGTTAAAAAGTTAGCCAAAGGGCACTGCAGCTTAATTTCCTACACATCTCCAGCCAGTTATTGGCTAGCTGTCCAGTTGCTGTTTTAGTTGCTCTCTTGTTTGTAAGCCTGTTCCAATGCCTCCACATTATTTCGGATCTGTCATAAGGAAAAATCACCTAAACCTACTTCAGTAATGCAATATTTTGTATATTGATATCAAAACAATATTTTTTTTTTAATTGAGCAGAATTAGAACTATTTATAATATTATGTCAAAATGTACAGTGTTCTCAACACAAAAGGTTTAGAAACCATGTTAAATTGGTTTTCTGGTTCCTAGATGTAAGTTATGCAATTAAAAAGAGAAAAATATCATATCTATAAGCCAGCTTTTTTTTAGATAAGAATTTTAGAATGTTTACCTGAAACTTGTCCAAGTAGCAATATCACTCTTGATCATAGGGCCATAATGTCTGCTTCGTCCTACTTTGCAAGCTGTCCTTGACTAATCTCCACCCTGGACAGAGCCTGGTGTTTTAGATCTGGACTGCCATTAGAGAATGGGCCATGAAATGTTCATTGATTCGTTTTATTCTTCAATGGCACAAGTGATCACAGGTCTAATTGATATGCTTCTGTGTGCGTCCCATCCCATAGGACGAGCTGAAAGGTTTTGTTCATTCTTTGTTGGTGTCTCTTTGGCAATTTAAATTGGACTTCTCTTTCTCTAAAATGTAGTGTCTCTCTCATTTTAAAACCGTGAGATTTCATCTATACGTCGTGTTGGCGGCAATACTACTAAATTTATACATGCAGTGTAATATGCTCTTAACATTTGCCTGTGGTCACTTTTTGGCCCTATATTAATTTTTGTACAAGATGTTCCTCTAAGATGCACAAGCGGTAGATCTCTCTCTGCTTGTACTAGTGGTTTGGTATAACCATCTTCCTAGGTGTCCATTAACAGATTAGACTGCAGTATATTTACTGGCATTGAGTGCTTGTGTAGTGATGTCCTTGGCACGTAAGGAGTTACACGCTGCCCCCTTTTTCTATGCTCTTTACTTCCAACCTGTAGATATGATTCCAAGAGCTAGTGTATTGGCAAGCTCCTGGCTTCTAGTATTCAGGTATGTAAATGAGAGATTTGAGCAGACGTACATTTGCATAAAATAAGAGCACCATTTAGTAACATCTGTCACAAGGGATGTCTGTAGAGACTGCGCAGCTTTTATTGTTTTTTTTTTTTTGTTTTGTTTTTTTTCTCCCTCTCTCTCTCTCTGTTTCCAGTCAACACATCCCCTTCCTGTCATCCAAACAAGGATATTCTATGGTAGGCATAAAGAAACCAGTCCATCACTGCAACTCACATTTTAAAGGAATCCTTTATTTGTGCTACATCCCTTGTTGTCAGTATGTCCTACACAGATGTGCTTTGGCTGCTGTGAATCCTCCAATTTTAAACACCTTACAAACTGCTTGACAAAAACCAGTGGGACAGCACGCAGAGCCTCCTTGCACCCTCACCACTACAACCAAATGTCCCTTTACACGGACAAATTCATGGACTGGTGATTGGTTATGTGGTTTGATAAGCTAGTTCTTGCAATAGGAGTATAGAAATTTTTTTAAATAATTGATGTCCAGCAACATCAAATATAATGGCGGTATTTGCTTCTTTAAAAGCCCACTCTGATTGCTAACACATATACTAGAGGTAAAAAAATAAATAAAAAGTCCTGTGTGTGCTGACGTGTTCTTGTTTGCTGTCATATTCTTGGCTAGTGCTTGTTCACCTGACTAGGCTGCTTTTTATGTCCCGTTTACTGGGAATTTACAGCCCTGCATCTTTATTTATTGCACCGTCGTCCTGCTGCAGATGGACACTTGAAATATGGCGCTAGCTGTTATTGTTAATGCGTGGTGCGTCTTCTTAAACATTGAACTAGTCAAGTTTCTAACTTGAGGAAGGAAGCTGATTTTTTTTTTTAGAGCGATCGGTACCTGTGTCATACTTAGCTAGCCAACATAAAAACCTAATTCAATAAAAACAATGTAACACCAGAAAGTGGCAGTCGATGCTTTTCTTTCGGAATGTTATTTACCTACGTTTGTTTTAGCAGAAAATGCATTCCAAAAAGAGAATTCGTCTTCTTATATAAATGGAAAAAGTATTTTTTTTTTTGTTTTGTTTGTTTTTTAAGTTGCTAGTGTTTAGCCTTTTTGTAATTTTTCTTCTTGTTAAATGTATCTTTAGAAACTGTTATTTTTCTTTTCTATTCTATTCTTGCTTTCTTTTTTTCCCCTTTCTGGACTATTGTACGTCTACAAAACTCCACTCTTGCCTTTGGGGTTTTTTGTGTGCGTTTGCTTTCAGGTAGATAATGCTAGTAATTGTTCATTTGCCAGTCCAGAGATTATTTTTCCTCTTTTCCGTCCTGCGTCTTAGCTACCAGGATGCATACTATGCCACCAAAGAGGTGGAATACATTAATAGGGAGTAGTAATCCTGCAAATCAGGTCAAGATGGCTGCCCCCAGTAAGGTAAGCATTTGGGAAGGCATCAGTCCTCATTTATTGGGCTGGATCTGTATTTGTTTCAAGTAAACATGAGGTTTTACCTTATTCTATGTTCTACTCGTCACTTGGTTTGATCCTGCATTATGCATAAGAAGGATTTTGTTTTAGTTAAATCATGTTCGCTGCCTCCTCATTGTGTATCTGATGAAATCAATTTCAAGCACTCCTATTTTCTACTAAGTTCTGAACAAAAAGATACAAGACATATATATATATATATATATATATATATATATATATATATATATATATATCTCAAAATAATGTTATTTTATTGTTTCATGTATTATGTTAGGCAGCGAGAATCAATTGCAACCTTGTTTAGCACTGTTGCCATGAGTTGTGGCTACTACCCGAATTACCTATTTAAATACATTTAAAATGTAACTAATCATCTCTGCATTGCTACTTGCTGCAGCTTGGAGGTTTAAATGTGGCATAGTCCTTTAAAAATATGTTGGACAATCAAGATCTGTTTATATGTACTCACTGTGAAATAGGCCTAGTTTTAAAGTATTATGTTTAACAAAAAAAAATATATATATATAAATATATATATATATTTGTGTTCGGGGCAAATAGCCGTATATGGAGTAAGGTTCCAGCATAAGCGTAGGATAGTATAAAGGGAGCAAGTCGGTTGTGGTGTGCCGAGACCGACGATACGGTAGGCCTGTAAATAAAGAGGGCCCACCAAGGAGTAAGTAAGTAAAGTAAATGGAAAGAAAAGAGAAAGTGTTGAAATGAGGAGTGGGTGGGAGGGTCATTCTGATGCTGACCTCAAGCGATATGAGTCAGGTAAGGGGTGTCCCTTATATAGGGGAGTGAATTAATTTAAGCCCCTCCCACAAATACAGGCCAAATGGCCTTAAAACTTGTGTTCGGGGCAAATAGCCGTATATGGAGTAAGGTTCCAGCATAAGCGTAGGATAGTATAAAGGGAGCAAGTCGGTTGTGGTGTGCCGAGACCGACGATACGGTAGGCCTGTAAATAAAGAGGGCAAAAAGAATAATCAAAGATTTAATACAGTCAACAATATATACAAATTAACCAGACATTTCCTTAAATGCATTACGGTATTTAATTCCTTGAAGGATTTTTGAAGGTAGGAATCTAGGACCGCAACTGGACACCATTTGTTGTGGGTAGGATAGTATGTTATCTCTACTGTTGGTGCGTGTTGACTCGTTTCGGAATGTGGTAGAGCCAATAGGTAATGATATATGTGTTTACACACGTGGGATCGTTGAAGACAATGATCTGTCTGAGTGGTGGTTATGGTAGTGGATTCTCTGGCCTGAGAAAGGCATAAAAGGCAGTGTGCATGGCTGGTAATGGCCAACTTGGTAGTATAATTGAAAGGTTGTAGCTCTAATAGGTCCGATAAGGATGGAAAAGTTGGATGGCTATTGGTAATATCTGAGAGGAACGTGGGGGGATGGATTCCTGAAAACCTCTGAGTATATTCTTGTCTGGTATGATAGCATGAAGTTATGGTAGTTTTGGCCATAGGTTATCCTGTGTTGTTGAATGCCTGTAAAATATATAATTAATGGTGTGTGAGATGGTTTTAGTTTAAGGTGGCAAAAAATGAAGCAAAACCTAGGAGAAATGTTATGACACAGGTTGAGCTATGTCGTGTTCCAATGAGATTCTTTAAAGCCAGGTGAATAGGAGCGTTCTACAAGTATGGGATGAAAGTGCTAGGTGGGATAGTGCATGCTATGCTGCATGAGTATGTCTAATCCATGATTTTGTCTCTGGAACGAAAGAGTGGCCGTGACTGTATGGGTGGCTGTAGGAAGCGTATGATGAACGTGCCTGGAATATAAATGAGACAATTGTCAGCAAGGATGTATACCACCGCCTGGTACATGAAAGTAAAAGAAATGTGGTAAGTGGCCAACCAAGTGAGTTCCCCAGCAATACCATGATCGTATGGATGATGAGTGGCATTTGTTGATGATATGACATGTACTTAGTTGTCTGAGTAACAACGGATTGATGACCCTGACCATGATTTACCCCATGCCACAGCAGCTGCTTTTAGCGGGAAAGGATTGCCCATTTTATGCCATGTAAGTGCCAGTTTGTAGGGTAGATGGTAGCCATTTACTGTGTTGATGATATTGGTCTTACTTAACGAAGCTTCAACCCCTGCTTGAGTGATAGCTGTAAAGGTAGATAATGGTGTGTATAGTAAGGAAACTCCTCGGAGGGTATGAGGGAGTTGAGACTTGGGGTAGCGAAGGTGTGTGGTGCCAATAAGTCTATGGTTAGTCTTGTTTAAGGGAAGATTCCCTTGTGACAATACCAATGCGTTTGTGTTTGGTGCCATGCTGTAAATGGTGGAGATTGGAAAACCCAAGTAAAAACCCCTCTGCAAATCTTGGCTATGAGTGTGTTTACAGCCGACGGTTCTGTTGTGCTGACTGTAAGTGAGGGCATGCTATATTCCTTGAGAGTTTATTTATGATACCTGTATGAGAGCCCTTTGAAGCTCCAAAGCCTTAGTAACTCTACTACAAGTCTGGAAGGGTGATGAGTCAGTAGTGTTGAAAATGCATTGGTGTGTACAGATGGTGAGTACGTTATTTGTAAGTTGTATTGGGACACATGGTTTGTCATGTGCCCTGAATGATTTGAACATATATGCAACAGTCTATATGCAATGCAACTACTAATACCAATTGTCTCTGGTAGTTCAGAGGTGCTGGTACCTGGAGCCTGAGAGTGCTCACCCGTTTGTTTGGGAGAAAATCCCTTCTGTATGGGTACCTGCACAAATAAGCATCTCTACATATTCCAAATGCCAACACAACCAAGGGATGGTCAGTTCCCGATTTACCTAGAATCCCTGGGTCTGACCATCATAGATACATCATCATACATATATATGCCTTGTTTCCCCAATGTGCCGGGATCATATGTGCAGGGTTAACGTCTTGTACCAAGTAACCGAGTTTCGGTTGGTGCTGGTTGTACAGTAGCGTGAGGCCCAGCCTTGTGAGGGCTGTGACTGACTCGAAATTGCCAGTCTGTCGTAAATTTTTTGGCTCATGAGTTTATGAGTGAGGCTAGCATGGCCTGGGTGTCACCTGAGTTGGTGTTGCTGGGCCTTCCCCTGCCTCCGTGTTGTCCGTTGATGTATGGAGGAGTTTGAATAACTCTGCTTTCCTTGCTGTGGCAGGGTAGGGGATTTGTCGCCTCCTTAGGTCGGAGCCACATCTCCTCTGCTTGAAGGTGTATCACTTCTAGCCGGGGGGGCCAGGAAGAGGTGATTCTTCACCATCTTTTTGAGAAATACTTAAATAACAATAAAGATTGCAATTATTATTTGTACCCAGGGTCTTGTACTGGCTTGCTAGCTAAGCCGTAAGGCGAAACGATAAGGCTTGGTGTTTTTTGGTGACTGGTGAGGCCCTGCTAGTTGCCAAGTGGCTTGAGAGGCTCTATCTATGCTTGGCGCGAGGGGATTTTTTTGTGGCCACCGAACGTTGTGGCAGGATGTTGGCCTCTCGGTGACAGTAACCAGAAAATAGGAGGGGGAGTGACAGGTGAGGCCCTCTCTATGATACAATGCGAGGCGGCTAGCTCACGAGTGGCCCGAGGGGTGTATGCCTCCGAGTGTGAGGCGGGGTGTTGGCCTCGCGGGACCACTAACCGAAGCGTAAAGCAGAGAAAACAGGGGGTAATACCTATTGGGCCATAGAACCCTAATTGCCAGTACATTACTACTATTCCAGGGAAGGTAAGAGATGAAGGTGTATCACTTCTAGCCGTGGTGCTAGGAAGAGGTGATTCTTTACCATCTTTTTGAGAAATACTTAAATAACAATAAAGATTGCAATTATATATTTGTACCCAGGGGTCTTGTACCAGCTTGCTAGCTAAGCCGTAAGGCGAAACGATTAGGCTTGGTGTTTTTTGGTGACTGGTGAGGCCCTGCTAGTTGCCAAGTGGCTTGAGAGGCTCTATCTATGCTTGGCGCGAGGGGATTTTGTGTGGCCACCGAACGTTGTGGCAGGATGTTGGCCTCTCGGTGACAGTAACCAGAAAATAGGAAGGGGAGTGACAGGTGAGGCCCTCTCTATGATACAATGCGAGGCGGCTAGCTCACGAGTGGCCCGAGGGGTGTATGCCTCCGAGTGTGAGGCGGGGTGTTGGCCTCGCGGGACCACTAACTGAAGCATAATGCAGAGAAAAAAGGGGGTAATACCTATTGGGCCCTAGAACCCTAATTGCCGGTACACTATTACTATTCCAGGGAAGGTAAGAGATGGATAACTACGTGAGCAGGTGTACGTACCTGGTAGTATGGTATTGAACCTGACAATCCGTATAGGTTTTTTAGTAGTAACTGTAACCTGAATGGATAAAATCGTATGGCATAAGGAAATATGGCATAGACCAAGCTTATCTTAAAACATACAGTATATGTGAAAGTAAAGTGCCGTGATATGTAAATATTAAACATCATATCCATACTGGTTAAATATGTATCAATCTTAACCCATTAAGTGCCGTATGTATGTGAACCATATTACCAGTTACGTATATACAGATGCGTGTGCTACTGTGTAATAATATGTGTATTTATAACAGATATTGATATACTGCTTGCTATGTGAATTGTTGTATGCCTTATTGAATGGCAAGTGAACATGGAGTTGCAAAATGCAAGTGCACTGGAGATCTGCCGAGTGCCCTATAGGTGGCAGTGTAGTTGGATACTGATTGGTATGTGAAATGTTGTTTGTCTGTTGACCTATAGGGGTCAGTGTTTTGGTGTTTGTAAAACCCCATGAAAATTGTCAATGTACTTGACAGACCTGTAGGTGGCAGTGTTGATAGAACCACTGTTAGTCTTAATGTGAAATGTAAATTATTGTGAATTAAACCTGAAGTTGAGCCCGTGTTGGAGTTTAATTCATGGTTTATGGTTATGTTTAAAACAATCTTATGTGTAATTTATATTGGCTGCTAATTGTATATGACATGTGAAGACAGTTTTGCTGTTGACCAGTAGGGGTCAGAAATGCTGATTGTATGGTAAAATACCCTTTAACCCCTGAAGGATACATGACATGTGTGACATCATTTATTCCAGAGTTTGGTCCTTAAGGGGTTAATCCAAATGCAAGGTTAACGTGAGATTTTGAGAGTGACCTGTAGGGGTCAGTGTGGTTTATGTGAAACATTGTTTGTGAGCTATGCCCCAGCATTATAGTTGTGAAACAAACCGTGCCCGTTTGACAATATACAATAAGTGAACATAATAGCTTAATAACAATTATTGTAACAAACCAAAGTTCTGTTCACGGGTTGTAAACACATGAAACGTGTGTGTAGTACAATAGTAAATGCATGAACTAGTTCCCGTTTGGTAGAAAATTGCACGAACCGTGAGCCTTGTATGTCAGGGAAACAAAACGAAACGAGCAGTAGGATTCGAAATGCACGCACAGAATTGCCTAGTATGTTAAGGCAATTGAAACAGAATGTGTTCCCGTTCAGGAGTATGCTAATGCTCGAATTGAGCCAGTGACAGATATAAACAAGTGAGTTTAAACGAATGATATGCATGAACATGCAATGGTTTTAGGACAGATTTAGACAAAATGCAGCCGTAAAGTGAGGACCTGACCCGTGCATGGTGCCGTGGGACTGATGCCTGGCATAACGGGTAGGTCGACTTACGGTTTGTGAGTCACTTGGACACCATCCACAGCAATAGATTGAAGAAAGAAGGTGGTAGGCCGGAAAAGCCTGTGGCTGAATTCCTGACACAGCTCAGCTTAGAAAACCTCATGGAGTAATCAGGTAAAATGGCGTCTGGATGACCCGGAAGTGGAAATCATTCTGATGCTGACCTCAAGCGACATGAGTCAGGTAAGGGGTGTCCCTTATATAGGGGAGTGAATTAATTTAAGCCCCTCCCACAAATACAGGCCAAATGGCCTTAAAACATATGGTTTTTATGGCATTATTCATCTACCAGAGTAATATAGCGTGGTTGTGGAAAAAAGGCCTTCTTCTGGTTCATAATGGACAGTACTAATTGGCTAGACTGCAGTTCTTCCATAAAGATTATGATTTACAGTACAATGTAGTGGGACAGTACACATAGTACTGAAACTATATGGAATCTGTTTCATGAAAAAGGCTTTATGTATCAAGTGCTGCTACTCTATCTGCGAGGAAAACACAGATTGCTATTGTACAATAAACGGTATTGTTTTTATTGAAAAGAGAAACAAAAAGTACTGATGCATTATATAAACAAAAATACATGTTGCTGGCTTATTTTGCTTTTTTTTTTTTTTAAATTTTTTTTTTTTTTTTAATACTTTTATAAACATCTTCAATACGTGACCCATCTGTGGACAGCTTAAACATCCTAATAATAATTTCTCCATAAGCCTTTGCCCTAGTTGTGCTTCTGGCTGTACGTTATTTGCTACCACCTGTTTTTGTCTACATAAGAAGACGGGAAGGGACTGCATTTACTGCAGACACTAACAAGCCTCTTATATCTGATTCTCTATGTACTAAGTCCTGTCACAGTCAATTAGTGTCTGACAGATTTCCAGACAGGGAGCTAGGAGAGCCAGCTTGTTCGTATAAAACTGAGCAAAGCAAAAATATTTTTGGTTGTAGTACTGCCAAGGCACAAACATAGGTGTGGCAAATTGCAGGGATGACCTTAATGAGTAAATGATGGCTGATAATGGGGTTCCATTCTTAATGAGCCTTTTTTACTAAATTGTGAATTGGGTAAGCCAGATTTATCAAACTGGGCCAAAATAGATAGAAGTATTTTCCAGGTTAGCTATATTCATATCTATGTTTTATTTATAACGGTTTTGCATCCTCTGTTACCAGATAATGGCTCTAAAAGTGCTCAAGCCCATTTTTCATTATGTTCTCTTGAAGCAATTACCAGATGAACACTTTTTCTTTTTTCTTATTGCCCATACTTTGCTAATTGCAAACAGTTTTTGATTTGTGTGAGGTAGTTGGATGGTCAGTGGTCATTATAAAGGTATTGTAGTATAGCATGATCAGTGAAATCAACTTTTATTTACATTTTTTTTTTTTTTAATTCAGTTGTCACATTTTTCTTTTATCCTCCTTCCCCCACCCCCTCCCCCCCCCCGAATAAAAAAAAATAATACACAAACCTTAATTGTTAGTCCAACCCTAAAAATTATATTTTGTCTAATAGACAGTACCATATGGGGCATTGCTAGTAGGCCTTCCTCCTGTTTAACTATATGAAAAGAAGATTTTAAATTTGCCTAACTTCCAGCACCCCATCCTAACTTCTAGCCCAATCACAGGCATCTCATAGAGATCCACTGCACATTCAGGCTTCTACCATCATGACCACTTCAAATTACTAATTGGTTATGGTGGTGGGAGTAACTCTTTAAGTAATATGCTCTAACAGCCCATGTCATGGAGGTAAGCACACATCAGCTTTTGATATATCTCGATATTTCTTATTTTGATGTGTTAAGTGTCAACTTCATTATGGGAAGTGGTCACATTCATATTGTTCGGGAGTTGGGACAATAATAAACCACAAGAACAAATGTTGATTGTTTTACATATGTCTCTATAACACAGAGAGATGACCTGTTTTTAGCAAACACTTCACCATTCTTTGTCTTTGAAATTGCATTAGAGGCTACAGCCTAGATATGCAGTTTCCAGTCAGTCTCAGACACCCGGGGTCATGTATGCCTTGTTGAAGCATTCATTTGTTAGGATTCTTGGATTAACGTTGTTGCCTTGCCCTACAAAATTACAGATAATTATTGTATCTGCACATTTGGACATGCATACAGGTGTATTAGTTATTCACTAACAATTTGGGAGAATTCCCAACAATTCTCAGTTTTGTGAATAACCCTGACAGTGTTTGCACTTTTTAATGTCGACAAACCTAGTTTAACAATGTCTAAGCCGCTCCCGTAGGAACGGAGTTTGATGTAATACATTTGGTTGGCTGTTTGTTTTGTTAATGCATATCACACACACATGCATGAAATAATATATGTATTTCATTCGGTATAATTTTGGTGTCTGTACACTGATCAATATGATTTGGGAGAGAGTAAAACAATCCTCCTTGATCATATTAAATTTTAAGTGCTCAAGCTGCATCCAGTCATTGATTGCTGATAAAGAATCAATTTGTCTGCTGGTTGTAGGTCAGGTGTAGAAGAATGCAGGACATCTGCTGGACATTAATACCACTCGGAACCTTGAACAAGTGTCTTAAAAATAAATGTACATTAGACAATAAGTAGCATGTCTAGATAAGCTGAACAAAACAGCGGGGGATGTCAGAAGCGATGAGGATGTACATAAAAATCTGCAGAATTATCTGTAAACTGAAGAATGGAGTGACATAGCCGTGTGACTTGGCCACTAGTAGTTAATACATGTAGCATTTGTATCGGCTGGTAAGTAAGCCACGTTGGTAACCATTTTTGCTCCAAATGATAATTTGGTACAGGTTTTTTTCTGATCTACAGTGACAAATGGAATGGAAGGGCTTCCTGTCTTTTCCTATTTGGTTTGAACTTTTGTGAATAATTCACATTTTGAGGATATCTTTACCCAGATTTAATTGTTGCACTTGTCCAATCTAATGCTTCTAGCAGAGAAGAATTGGGGACGTGCATGAACATTAAAATATCACTACTGTCCAAGCAAATGATCAATATGAGAAGCATTGATTGAAGAACCAAGTCAGGAAAGCAGCCACTAGATGTGTGTTTAACCCTGCAATTAAAAACGTGCCGTATCTACCAAACATCAATGTTTTACATTGCAGGACTAAAACTCCTGGACCACTCCCACCTGACCACTTCATTAAGATGGAGGTATCGGGGTGCACATAGTGGTTCTTTGCCAAATAATTCAACAATGTTAAAACTAGTCCCAGCGAGTTTGGTTGTCTTGTTACTTGGCATGATCCCTAAACCATAGGGAATTATTCTAATTGTTGGAGATATGTTGCCCTTATTTGGTTTTGGTGGCCTTCAATAATTTGTAGTGAGAGCTGACCAGACTGATTAGGATATTATTTGTCTCCAAGCATCTCCAGACATTTCTGTTTTTCACAATTAGATCTTTAATCTATGTACAGCACTACGAAATCTGATGTCGCTATATAAATAATAATAATAATGTAATTTAGGGATCGACCGATTATTGGTTTTGCCGATCTTATCGGCTGATATTCAGGGTTTTTAACATGTCATGATTCCCTTTTATTCCAGAAGTTTGGTCCTTAAGGGGTTAAAATTATTGGTATCGGCCTATAATCTTGCCGATAATGAGTCCAGCGTGCGCTCAATCTGTCCTCCTCTCCAAGTCTCTCGATTAATGAGCCCTAACCGTCAAAGCGTTCCCCTCAGTTACCGTGGCAATGCTCTGTGCGGCAAAATAAGGCGCGCGAATCACGAGACTGTTCGAGAGGAACTGTAGACCCGGGCCTGAAGTAGTGGTGTCTGACTGCCATCTAGTCTCCCATGTTGCTTTTGAGCCAATTGGTTTGCCACTTTTATCCTTCTTGTCTGTAAAAGGTAATTTATTTTTTTTCTCCAATAAATATAGTTTCTCAGTCAGAGAGGGGGTGGAAGAGGGGTTGGGGGTGGTGGTGTATATGGCACCATATTATGATAAAGCTCTGGGTATATATTGGCACTATCTTATAAATGATAATAAAGCCCTTGGTAGTCAGTGAGTGGGGGTGGTGGATATGTCACTATATGATTATAAAGCTCTGGGTATATATTGGCCCTATGTTATAAATTATATTAAATCCCTTGGTAGTCAGTGAGGGGGGGTGGGGGGTGGATATGGCACTATATGATAATATACCTCTGGGAATATATTGGCACTATGTTATAAATTATATTAAAGCCCTTGGTAGTCAGTGGGAGGATATGGCACTATATGATAATAAAGCTCTGGGTATATATTGGCCCTATGTTATAAATTATATTAAAGCCCTTGGTAGTCAGTGAGGGGGAGGGAGGGGGTGGATATGGCACTATATGATAAAGCTCTGGGTATATATTGGCACTATGTTATAAATTATATTAAAGCCCTTGGTAGTCAGTGAGGGGTGGTGGTGGATATGACACTATATGATAATAAAGCTCTGGGTATATATTGCACTATGTTATAAATTATATTAATCCTTTGGTAGTCAGTGGGGGGGGGAGGATATGGCACTATATGATAATAAAGCTCTGGGTATATTTGGCACTATGTTATAAATTATATTAAAGCCCTTGGTAGTCAGTGAGGGGGTGGATATGGCACTATATGATAAAGCTCTGGGTATATATCGGCACTATGTTATAAATTATATTAAAGCCCTTGGTAGTCAGTGGGGGGGGTGGATATGGCACTATATGATAATAAAGCTCTGGGTATATATTGGCACTATGTTATAAATTATATTAAATCCCTTGGTAGTCAGTGGGGGTGTGGATATGGCACTATATGATAAAGCTCTGGGTATATTTGGCACTATGTTATAAATTATATTAAAGCACTTGGTAGTATATTGGCACTAACACCTTCGGTCACTTACCTGTTCTGGGTCCAGGGCTGACGACACTAAGCGCTGGCTCAGCTCCGCCCATGCTCCTTCCCCGCAGGGGAGACCTAATATGCGTGTGCGGTAATAGGATTTCCCCATAGGAAACGCATTATTCAATGCTTTCCTATGGGAATATCGGTATCGGTAAGTTATCGGCTTGAAAGTTCACAGATTATCGGTATCCGCTCAAAAAAAATCAATATTGGTCGATCCCTAATGTAATTTGACAGGTCCACCTGTGCTCCTGTGAGTAGTTATTGAAAGCCTGCAGTTTTGCAGCTACTTGAGGACAAATGCAGAGGGAGAGTTGGGTATTGTCAGTAATTGTCATTCTGTTTATGTTCTTTTAGCAGCCCTTTTCATGGAATTCTTTTTCTTTTTCTTTGTTATACCAGGCACTGGAGGAAAATGTTGAAGATGTGAGAACACAAACATTTGGAGGTCCAGTAGTCAGCTGTCTTTACCATGCTCAAGAGACTATTCGGTAATAATCGTAAAGAAATGTAAAGACCTTAGATGATCTAACCCATTTCCAAATTTGTCTTATGTGTATTGTGTTTTCTCTGCATTTGATCTCATCACAGCTTCCTTATATATCATTTTATATATATATTTATTTTTTTTTTTCCCCAGTTCCTTTAATTCTCTCCACGTCACAGGTCTCCCACATTCCACTATGCCTCTTGCTCTCCTCTATCCCATGAGGCTTTGCAGTAATCTATCAGAATTGAATTAATCCTACTCACTCGTGCAGCCATCTGTCCTCTCCTCTCATCTCAGGCCTGACTAGTTCCACCAACGATGATTGATGGGCTCTGTAATTGATTAGTTACTCTGCCAGATAAATGGACTGTTTGGGCATGAAGTATCACAGGGTCAGTCTGTGTGGTCAGGCAGTTAGACTTTTGCTTTTAAAGAGATGTGCACCGACTTGCAGATTCCATATCATCCACAGACATGGGCACACACATGTTGGATTTGTCATGTGCACAATTTGAATCTGTAATTGAATTACCTTTGTTCTGTATTCGGTTATTTACCTTTCAAATGCTGAAGTTGTGCATTATAGTGTAACGCACAACTTTCGCATTTGTGCGTTATACTATATGTTAATAATTTTGTTTTCTGGTTCCCCAAAACAGTACGATTCTTCATTCAAGTGATCCCTACTGGGTCCATTTAGACACACTAATGTGGCTACACAATATGAAACGTAACACTACAGCAGGAAATGCTTCTGTGTTAATGGTACACTGAGATAAAGTGAATCCAAGCCCTTTTAGTCTTGATTGTTTATACCAATTTCTCATATTTGCTGCCAACATTCTGAGTTTTTCCTAAGCTCTATACGGAAGTTTTCATAATGGCTGCCTTGTGTGTGATCCTGCACAGCATGTGCAAGCATCATAGTGACTTGTTGTGTGCATAGGGTACACAAGACCTATGTCACTACTATTATACTGAATATCTGTAACCGAGAACTTAAAGGAGGGCCTCAGATTTAACTGCTTTTACCTTGATCTCATAAAGTTTAGTAAAACTGGTCTCCACATCTGAGGCTCACATTTACTAAAATAAGATACGCCATTATAAACTCTGAAGCAGACAACTGTAGAAGAAGCAAAGAAATTTGTGAACCATACATACTTTTTTTTCAACTTGGCAATGAGTGGGCCTCACTATCCCCTATGGTAACATTCCCCCCAAACCTCCTGCAATGTGTTCAGCACTGAGATCATGCAGCCATAGAGCAGCTCAGCTGGTGTGAATAATTGCATGAGCGCAGGGTATGTGTGTGCTGCACACCTTGGGGACTCCAGCCCCCCTCTGCCCGTTCTACCCCATTCTTATGAAAATGATCCCTCTCGCACTGCTGCCTAATAACACTAAGCAATTAAAAGCTCAGTGCACAACGGAGGGGTGCGGACGCTGCTCTTAATGAGCTTTTGCTGCTTTTGCCCCCTGAGTGCCGCAGAGCACCGGCTGATTAAAGACCAAGAATAATTACAGGTGATGTGACTAGCTCCCAGGAGGATGACGTTGTGTGAGGGCCACTACTTAACCTTGCCGTTGTCTGCCCGTTTATTTTCAAACCTAATCTCTGTCCAATCCCCTCTTCGTTAATGTATATTTCATTTACTGTCTTTGATTGTGAAATAGAAATGATTTACAGTAGAATGCTTCATGGAACCTGTGAACGAACGAAAACTGACTTTACATTTTATATGCATATCGTTAACAAATTCTTTTTGTGCATGTCCTACACAACAATTTCTCTCTAAAATTCTGCAATCTACTTTTCCTTAACTATGTATATAACATTCTGGGCTTACTGCTAACACTTTTTTTTCCCCTCTTTTTTATTAGTGAGGAAGATAAGAACATATTTGATTACTGCAGAGAAAATGACATCACACGAGTCTCTCAAGCTTTGGCTACTGGGGCTATTGACGTTAATGTAGCAGATGAGGAGGTGGGTGACTAGGTCTCATTTCCATGCCATGCCGGTCTCTTAACTGCCCAGTAAACTCTCTCTGTTTATAAGCCTGCATTTTCTACCCAGTGAAAGTGTTTTTTACATTCACTTCCCCATCCTTAAACATCATCCCATCTGGTTTACCAACAATTTGCAACTCATTTGATGGCTCTTGGCATTACTGTGGTTTTGACTAGTGCAATAACCGTGCCTATGAAAATGCAGCTCAAGGTAACCACATTTGATGTATGTCTTGACATATTGGGCATATTGTATTAAATAAAACTACTAACTTTAAACCTGTCCATATTCGGCTTACAACCAGCATATTTTTGTTCTATATCTTGTTTCTTTGACTTGCCACTTGGACTGCGTGTTCCCGCACTTCTAGATGCCCCCTCCTCTATGTCTGTCAGTATGGCTCGCTCACAGAGTGTATTAGAATGGGACTGTAATTACCAATTCATAGTCTAAGACACAGAGAATATACTCCTGTACGGATGGTACACCATTTTTTTGACAGTCCTAGTATTACTAAAGGTTTGTGCAATGCACTCAGCTCCCCAGTATCTGATCATTTTTTCCCCACCTAACCCTTTGCAATTGAGCAACATATCAGGACTCTCGTTTAACAATGCACTTACCTAACCCTGGTCTTTAGGGGTTAATACACAGAAGGATGTAAAGACTGTGCATTTAATGATGCCTGTTGTAGCTGCATGTTCTTAAAAACGTTTTTCTACATTACAATTACATTTTCCAAAACTAAATTTTAGTGAGATCTCTGTCATATGCTGTAACGAGTCTATTAACATTTTAGTATTAAATTTCATGTATTTCAGTGAGTCGGTAATTAGTTGCTGCTTTTTTCCCTACAGTGATTTTAAATTTGTACACATAATAAAGTGGCTGCATAATTCTGCTACCAGTATGGTATGGAAGACGTTCACTAATATTCTGTGTTCACAGCTGAGTAGATAGACTTATATCCAAGATATTGCGTGGCCAAGATTGTTTAGAGAAGACCAACAATGTATAGACCAAGTGATTTAGGGCATTAAAGTATTTAACACCCAGTGAAATACTTGCTCTGAAAATCTGGCACGTTGCTCTTGTTGAATCTAGAATTGGTGGTCAGGTGCTCCATATTTGTTCAAATTACCATTTCTTTCAAAGTAGGTGGATACACATTCTTAGAATTAATCTGCTGTAACCTTCTCTTTTTTTCATTTGTAGGGACGAAGCCTCCTGCACTGGGCTTGCGATCGGGGCCTCGGGGAGCTAGTGTCAGTTCTTCTATTTCATAATGCTCACATTAATATGCAGGTAAGAATCAGGAGAGAAAATGTGTCTGTGTCCAACAAGAATCCACTAAATATAGTGCATGAAGGTATTGGAAAGCTACTTGGGTGTGGAAAGGGATATACCTGATTAGTGATGTCGCGAACCGTTCGTGGCGAACTCCGGTCAGCTGACACATCCCTGCCAATCTCCGGCAGACCCTCCTACTTCCTGGACAGCATCCATGTTGAAGGCAGCTTCAACATGGATGCTGTCCAGGAGGTGGGAGGGCCTGGGAGGGAGGGTCTGCCGGAGATTGGCAGGGATGTGTCTGCTGACCGGAGTTCGCCGCGAACGGTTCGTGACATCACTATACCTGATGCACAGAAGTAAAAAAACACACAGACACACAAACTCATGTGAAAAAATGAACAGAACCGGCTTTCAGCATGACATACATAAAAACCAACAGAATATTGCCCCAAAAGGAATGGAGTGGCTTTTTTTTTTTCTTATAACATTTTAACATATACACCAAAGGATAACATAAATAAGTCAGTATCTCTGGATATACAGTAGTAATGTAATGGCAGCAGGCCTCATGAAAATATTTGAAGTACAGTATACTAAATAGCCAAGATATCGACCATAAATTGTACATCTGCTATGCAATCTGATAATGCACTGATTCACTTGTGGATTCATAACTAAAAGATAACTGAAGTTTACAAAATTTGGTTGGATAACAGGAACTAAAACAAAAGAAAAAGATCTAAAGCTATTTCTAGTTAAAATATTTAAACTATTTTGGCCTTAAATAATACAAATCTTTTTTTCTTTTCTTTTTTTTGTAAAGCACACTGTTAGCAGACTTTTTTTTAAATAAAATAACATTGGTACACGTTTGTTTTAATTTGTTTTTTTTTTATCATTGGTGTACATACAGTGAGTACAGTGATATACTTTTTATATATTAACTGGGGATGTGGCACAGTGTTCATAATACAATATCTGGACATGGCAGCAATGTGTGATTTGTATACCCCAAAGAGGAAATGTGGTGCTTACTGTCCCTTTAGTTAAAGATATTTATTTAGTAAAAGTGAATAGATGTGTAATTTAGGCCAGAGTTTTGCCAGAATGAATTCTCGATGAAGCCACCAATTTAAAACACGACCAAAAGATTTTATAAACATAAACATTTATTACATTTTAATTGTAGAGAGGTGAAAAATGGAATTGCCAAAACAGCTGAACTAGAAAGTGTTTCCAGCACTGCTCTAGTCAGTGCTATGCTTGACTTTTACAGTTTGATTTTCAATTTGTCAGATTTCGCTGTTTAGTGAATAAACCCTAATATGCATTAGTGTGGAGGAAACCAAAGAGTAGATGGAAGTTGGGAGGGGGTAGAAGCGCTCAGTGGAAGACAATCCAGAGATAATAAATAGCAGAGTGAGCGTCTCCATTGGGACAGATTCTCACAAACAACATTATTATTGAGCGCTCAATCCATTGCCAAATCCATCTCATTACTGACAACAACCTGCAGTTGAGACATTGAGACGTCCTGTGCACTGAGACCTTCGGTTCTCGGCGCTACTTGCTCCCTTAACATATTCAATGCCAATCATAAAATGAACACTCTGCAGCAAAATGGGCATTCAGGCAAAAAAAAATATTTTTTTACAAATCTCCTAGTGTATGAGATAATAGCGCCTTTACCTAAGCAATAGTGTGCATGCATATATCTATCTATCCATCTATCCCGGAAGGCTGCACTCAACAGTTGGGTACATTGGCGTTGAGGTTGGCTTATGCAATGTGTAATCAAATACTGTACCACTAAATCTCCTCATTATTTTTGCCAAGGTCAGGTGTTTCTAATAAATATATATATATATATATATATATATATATATATATATATATATATATATATATATATATATATATATATATATATATATATATATATATAACATTTGATGAGCTTTGAAGCTGGTGTTTAGTGAGCGTGCTGGATTCTGTATGTTATATCTACTGAATTGTATTGAATTAAAATATATTAATTTTGAAAGTCAGGCTGGAATAGCCAACCTGTGTCAGTAGATGCAATTGCCACTTTTATGTACTACAGTGAGAATTTTTCAAAGTGAATTTTAAATTTAAGACCAGATTAGCTGAACTGAAAGCATAGCGGACTTAGAGAATTTAGTTTTTCCAGTTTGGCTATTTTGATCTTTAATTTCTCACTTTAGTGAATAAGCCCCCTCAATGTTCTGTGAATAAAACCCCTGTATGATTTAAACACTTCATGAAAGGCCAAACTCAGATGAAACATTTGCTGATTAGTTACATGAGCATATATATATATTACACAGCTCATTTACATACAAGTCATGCGCACATTAACCAGGCCCACTGCTCCGATGAGTTTACAATCTGTAAATTGTAGTTCCCAGCCTGTGGGCCCACACTGGAAAATTGAGCTTCTTCAACCATCCTAAGCAGGCAATCATGAGAGCGGCTATTCAAAAAAATGTTTTTTTTTTTTCCAGTGATGGTCAACCGTTAAAATGAATGGGTAATATATGTTTATATATAAGGGGTATGTATGCACACCTATTCCATTGATTTGTTCTTTTTTTCCCAATGATTCACTCATCTTTCACACTGCAAGCCATACACATCCATGCTTACACAGGCTTATATGCACGTATCACACTCATACACTGCTCTGTGTGGATGGATATATTCACTTTTTATGTGTGATTAAACAGCACCAGCATCTCTGCATGGACTATATCTCTATTGCCCTCTATGTATGATTTTATACTGACTTTCATAGACACATAATACACACAGATCTTGTACAAGCTCATACACACACACCGATAGATATAAAGCGAGAGAGAGTGATATACACACTGCAATCTGTTCCTATGTGTACACACAGATATAAAGTGAGAGAGAGTGATATACACACTGCAATCTGTTCCTATGTACACACTCAGATAGATATAAAGAGAGAGATCGATCTACACTCTGCAATCTGCTCCTATGTACACAGACAGACATAGATATAAAGAGAAAGATCGATCTACACACTGCAATCTGCTCCTACGTACACACACAGATAGATATAAAGAGAGCGAGAGATCTACACACTGCAGTCTGCCCCTTTGTACACAGACAGATGCCCACAGCCTCATGCTCCTGAATACACACCTTATATAAATATTAATGCATTGTGCTGGCATTGCAGAGAAATTCCTGTGCAATATACAGGCAGCTTTCTATAAAGGTTCTCATATAGAGGCCTTTTCTCTGTGTATTTCATGTAGATTTACACTAGTAATTGGTAAGTATGATATAAAAAAGGTCAAGCTAATTATATGTTGACTGATGTATGTTGAAAGCTAGCCTGGCATGATTCACTAAATATTAGGTAAGACCCCCACACAGCCTGGCATCTGTTCTTATACAGATACGTGATGTCATATTAGTCAAGTAAATTGGTATTGGCAGTATGTGAGTGATGCCACAGGCCGGCTATCAGTCAGGATATAAGTCTGTGTTTCAGATAGGGTAATGTCCGGGAGGGGTTCTTGGTAACTGTAATGAGTGCAGGCAGAGTAAGCTACGAGGTCAGAGCTCCGGCTGTATCGGATTCAGATTCATAAGTTAATTGAGGGCAGAAATCTCCCCCTCCCCACTGCTCTCACCACAGATCAATAACCATAAATGTCTCTCAGGGACTGCATGCCACTTCCCATCTACCTTCACAGCATGCAGTCAGGCAGAGCTAGACCTACAGGTGGGAGGCCACACTCTCCCTGTATGATGAAGCTGTCCTGGCGTGTGCCACGTTTTGGTAATGTCACCTTCTATGCGAGCGTGTGTATAGAAGACTGTGCGTTTACGGTTACTGGAATTTGTAGTGTGACATGGTTAATAGAGGCAGGTTAACCGGTTCAATGCCTCCGGAAGCACAAGGTGCAATAAATTGTACTGCTTGTATTGGATCTATAAAGATAGCATGAAATTGTGTGAATTAAAGGCACACTGGGGTTGCTGTGTGATTTGGGTGGGTTGAAGGACACCCTGGGATTAGTGTGCTTAGGCATGTTTCCGCTGCCTCTCTGATTGGCAAGGTTACCGCTGAGAGACTGCAGCGTTCTCAGCTGATTTGATTAGACCTCCAGCTTTATCCCCAGTACTCCCCCCTCCTCCCCTCTTCAGCCAGCACCTCCTGATCCTTTTAGTACAGACCCTCACTCCAATAACCATTGCAGCTCCTTGTGCTTTCCTCCTCTGTGAGCTCTGTTCTGACATCTCACAGGCAGATTAGGAAACCCTCTGAGAGGATTAACAGGCAATTGCAAAACAGGCACTGTGACACTCCACAAGAGCTTCTTAAAACCATCAGCACTTCCTTCTTTTTATTTATTTTTTATACATGCTTATTAGAGGCAAGTATCCTGCACAGACATGACACACGTGACTTTGTAGTTAAACCCCTGTCCCTTTTCTGCTCTTTTATTGCTGTAGCTTTCTTTTTCCATGAGCTCTTGAATGCATATTTTGCATGCAGATGTGGCATATCCTTCAGTTTGATAGTAAACCAATGTCTGAATAAAATGCAGTAATGATGACTTGTGTATGGCCATCTAGCTCTTGTGGACTGTTTTTCCGATGTTCATCTAGTTGTCCAGTTAGCAGAGCATCATGAGAATAGTGAGTGCCAAAGGTTGATTACGCACTACAATACAGTGCATTACAATGTGCCCTCTACAAACCATCAAAGGGACACTGTAGGCACTGTAACTGCTTCAGCTCTGTGAACTGGTTACGGTGTCTGGAATCCCCTGGCACTGTCCTTCCGTTCAGCGTTAAACAATATATTTGTTTTAATGCTAAACCGTACCCAGCCCATCCCCACTGTGCTGCTTGGGCTAATGAGGGAGTATTAGCCTTATCTGTAATGGGCGACTGAGACCATCAGGTTACCACTTTCAGCCTATCACCGTGCTGAAAATGTTTTACTAAATGGAGGGGCAGTACCAGAGGACTATAACCAATTCAATAAGATTAAATGGTTATAGTGCATTTAAGCCCAGTCAGATTCCAGTGATCCAAAAAGTTAATATTAGAAAGTCAGTGCAGTGTTACCCATGCTCCTCTTGCAGCACCTCCATTACTGTATAGAAGCATATTTAATTTCCTAAACAATCGGTCAGCCTTTGACTGGCCAACCAAAGGATCGTAGGAGTTGTAGTTTTCCAGTAGCTGAATGCTCCCCGGCATCCCATACCTGATTTATAATCTATACAAACAATAACTTTGTTACTAACTGCCTTCACTGATGTAGAGGTAGAAAAAAAGCCTAACAAGTAAAAATATATCAGGTGGCCTGTTTGTGTGTAATGCAAGTTGGATTTACTGTGTATAATGG